CTCCTGTGGAGAGAGTGGCTCCCGCCGAGACGAAGCACCCGGAGAACCTCCAGGCCCAGCACCGTCAGTCGCCACACTAGTAGGTCCACCGGACGCTGGCTCCGCACCCCCAGGCTCAGTAGCTCAAGACGTGGCACCCCCAGGCTCAGCAGCTACTCGACGTAGCACCCCCAGGCTTAGCACCCCCAGGCGAAGGACCCCCAGGCTCAGCACCCCCAGTCTCAGCACCCCCAGGCTCGGAACCCCCAGGCTCAGCACCCACTCGCGCAGCACCCCTAGAGTCAGCACCCCTAGGCTCAGCACCCGCAGCAGTACCAGAGTCACCAGCAACCTCGACCGGCTCGACTGCGTCTACCAGGGACACATCTGAAGGGGCAGGACCCTGAGGGGGGAGGGGGTCTGCCGGGGGGGGACCTGGCACAAGGAAGAGCGGAGGCGGGGGGAGGGAAGGAGTGCGGTAGGGGAAGAGACGGTAGTAGGGGACCGACTCGTCAAACGTGACTTCCTGGGAGGACAAAACACAACGAGAGGAGGGGTGGTAGAACTGCCACCCTGGTGCGTCAGGGGGGAAGCCAAGGAAGACAAAAGGAGCAGCACGAGGGGACAGCTTGTCCGTAGACAAGTCGCGGACAAACGCTCGAGATCCCCAGACACGGAACGCAGACGCATCGCCTACCTTCCCCGTCCACAGCAGAGCTGGGGAGGTCTCCGGCATGGAGACCCTGGGGTGAAGGCTGATATGATGCGCCGCGTACCGAACCGCAAACGGCCACAGAAAATGGGGGGCAGCCGCATGCATCGTCCATGACCATGCCAATGCGGCGCTCAGCAATCCCATTTTGCTGTGGAGATTCCGGAAGTGTAAAGGTCTGGCGGATGCCTCGCGCACGGCAATAGGCTCGCAGAAGGCCAGAGGAGAACTCTCCGCCTCGGTTAGAGTGCAGACGCAGAATGGGAAAGTCCGAGCCGATGCTCCTCCTGAGCTGGAGACGAGTTGCGCGGATCCAGTCGATCAACACCTCAGTGACATCACCCTTGCTGCGCAAGGGGAAGACTGTGGTGTAACGCGAGTAGTCGTCAACCACCAGCAGGAAGTAGCGTTCGTGACCCTGTCCACGGACGCGGGCCGGGCCCCACACGTCGATGTGAAGCGTCTACAGCGGGGCCTCTGTTGAGGGAAGCTGAGAGGAGTGAGGGGCAGCCCAGAGCCGCTCCTCGACACAGGGGACACAGGAAGGACTAGGCCCTGGAGGAAGGGGAGGGAGGGACCGGGGAAGACCAGAGACAAGGACACGTTAAGCCATGCCTCGGAGACGAGGCAGGGAGGGGTGACCAAGACGGTGGTGCCACAGGAGAGTCTCGTGAGACAGGAGGCGACACGAGCAGGGGGCAGACTCAGGACCAGACCTGGACGTTGCACCAAGCACCAGACCCGACGCAGCTACCTGGCCAGACGCAGGGACAGGAGGAGACTCATTGGTCAGGGTGTAGAGGCTCGACCCCGGCCGACGTGTAAACGTGGCCAGGTGCCTGTTCTGTGCGAGCGTCCGAGCAGTGGGTCACCCGCTGACTCGCAGGAGTAAACTGGTGAACCCCCGCATCCTGTAGGTCAGCACCACTCACCAAGTTCGTAGAGAACGAGGGGAGGTAAAGACCAGGGAGACTGCAATCGGCCGACCAAGCGACGTGAGTGTGGTGCGGTCTCGAAAGAAGGAGCGAGAAGCCCCTGAGTCAAGTGTGAAGGTGAGGGAGGCCGAAGCCGACGCAGTACCTGAGAGCGCAGACTCACCAGCACCTGAGGACGCAGACGCACTGGCACCTAGAGCAGCACACTCACCAGCACCTAGAGCAGCCGTCTCAATGCCCGGGCCGGGCGGGAAACACCGGTAACAGTCACCCTCATCACTAATATTCACAGCATACATTGCAGCAAAGATAGCATCAAAGTCAAGATCATAGATGGCTACACCTACCCTAGACAGCTCTCCCCAGCGGGGGATCTCAGAAGCCTCCGGGAACTGGTGACGCCAAGCGTCCATCAGGCGGCCAAAGCAGCGCTGGGTGGGGTGGGCACCTCCACACTGCTCACCCGCGCGGTCGCCGGTGCGAAGGACGTAGGTGCACGGACCAAAACCCCCACCACGCTGACGCTGCGTGTACCACTCACGGAGCTGCTGAGGAGGGGGGATGTCCCGAGAACGCTGCTGCTGCTGCTACTGCTGGCGCTGACCACCACCGGAGCCGCTCCGCTGCCAAGCACCACCGCGACCAGCTCCACCTCCTCCACCGCCGCCTCCTCCACCTCCGCCACCACCGCCGCCTCCGCTCCCACCGCTACCACCTCCGCCGCCTCCGCCTCCTCTGCTGCCACCGACACCTCCACCCCCGCTACCACTCCCACCGCCACCCCCACTCCCTCCGCCGCCTCCACCGCCACCTCCACCACCCCCGCTTGCTCCACCCGCGCCCTTGCCCCCCTTGCCCTTGCCAGAGCGGCGTCTCCCGCTAGGGGCAGACGCTGCACCGACCGACTCAAGACCAAGGAGGTCGGCCGCAGCAGCAGAGGCGACAGAGGGCAAAAGGGGGGAAGGGGAACACCCCTCAAAGATGGGGGTGCGAGGGTCACCACGAGAGGCTCCTACAACGACTATGCTCTTCTCTGTTGTTAGGAGGGCCTTCTCTAGGAGGTCAATAGTGAGAGTGGTGGGACAGACTGAGAGGAAGTGGTCCCTGACTACACGAAGGGAGTCAGGGAGGCGGGTGACTATGTAATAGAGAGTGATGTACATGGGGGGGGGGGTTCTTGGCGCAGAACTCAGCAGGAAGCGCAGCGCGGTAGCGACTGTCGCGAGTGCGGAGGTGCGTAATGAGGTCAGCGACTGTGGGAAAGGCAGCAAGGTCAGGAAAGAGGTACGGTAGCATGAGGCGGCTCAGTGCAACAGTGGCAGTTGAAGAGTAGCGCACAACTACAGCGTCGTAAAAGGTCTGAGCACTCTTGTACTGACTAAAGTGCGCGCGCTCAGTGGTAGGCAGGTGGCGACGCACAGCAAGACGTGCAGCAGCGTCGCGCGTGGCCCACTGAGAGCGAACAGTGGTGTCAGCATCGGCAGCAGGGGCAGGAGAGGCGCCAGAGGTGAGGTCAAAGAGAGAGAGACCGTCTGCCCTATCGCACTGTAAGAACAGTTGCAGGTCGTCGACCCAGACGTCAAAGTCAATGGCTCGACCCTCAGCGTCAAAAGCGAGGACACTAGGGGTAGCCATGACAACAGTAGACCAGTAGTGCAAGCAGTGGGGAAAGGGCAGTGCAGCGACAGAGGTGCTGTTCTCACCAAACAGTGCTGCGCGGGCGGCTCGGCGGAAGAGCGGCTGGGCGGTACGGCGGCTCGACTGCTGGGCGGCTCGGCTGCACGGCGGCTGGGCGGCTCGGCCGCAGGGCGACCCGGCGGCTCGGCGGCTCGGCTGCTCTGCTGGTGGGCGGCTCGGTTGTGCTGCTGCAGGGCGACGCGGCGGTCGGCGGCTCGGCTGGGTGAGGCGGCTCGGGCGGCGGGCGGCGCTGCAGTAGTTGAAGGCGGCGGGGCCGCAACTGAGGGCGGCGGGGCCGCAAGTGAGGGCGGCGGGGCCGCAGGTGAGGACGGCGACGGGCCGCAAGTGAAGGCGGCTGCGGGGCCGCAACGGAGGGCGGCGGGGTCGCAACTGAGGGCGGCGGGGCCGCAGGTGAGGGCGGCGGGGCCGCAGGTGAGGGCGGCGGGGCCGCAACTGAGGGCGGCGGAGCCGCAAGTGAGGGCGGCGGGGCCACAGGTGAGGGCGGCGACAGGCCGCAGGTGAGGGCGGCGACGGGGCCGCAGCTGAGGGCGGCGTTGAGGCCGCAAGGGAGGGCGACGACGGGCCGCAGGTGAGGGCGGTGACGGGGCCGCAGATGAGGGCGGCGACGAGGCCGCAAGTGAGGGCGGCGACGGGGCCGCAGGTGAGGGCGGCGGGGCCGCAACTGAGGGTGGCGGGGCCGCAAGTGAGGGCGGCGGGGCCGTAAGGAAGGGCGGCGACGGGCCGCAGGTGAGGGCGGCAACGGGCCGCAGGTGAGGGCGGCGACGGGCCGCAGGTGAGGGCGGCAACGGGCCGCAAGTGAGGGTGGCGGGGCCGCAACTGAGGGCGGCGGGGCCGCAAGGGAGGGCGGCGGGGCCGCAAGGGACGCCGCTAGGGCGGCTCGACGAAGGTAGAGAGGGGAGCGCGACTCAAGGAGCGCGCTCCGGGCAGGAAAAAAAAAAATCGATGTGGTGGGCCCTAGGCACAGTTCCCTCGAGGGAACCTGCTCGATACTATGAGAAAAGTAGAACGAGAATGAGTGCACTAAGGAATGAAAGTGGTACAAATATGCAACCCTAGAAATGTGTACCCCATATGGGCTACCCCACTACAGCCTACACAACATTATAATTTGACAGTAAAGTAGTTATAACTGTATCCCTTCGTATTCCTTGTACTCTTACATAATCTTGTATCTCCTTGTTTTAATCAATCTACTTTGCCCTCACATACTAGCTTAAGGTGGTTCACAATACTTCATAAATACGCTTCCGCTATTACACCAGCCCTACCCAGAGTTCATCCCTGTAAAGATCCTAAGGGCTTTTCTCAGCCCAAAAAGATACTGTTGAGTAAACAATGAACTAACAGTGAGTATAAGTCATCCCAGTGCAAAGAGGGTGTGCGGAGCAGAAGGCAAGCAAGCACGGTTCATATAAGGCAGAACAAGAATGTGCCACCCCCACCCATAGCTACCTACCCTATCCGCTCTCGGGCCATCATCAGTTACCCGGTTTTGCTCGAGAGCTGGTGCTGGAAAAGCTGCCCAAAAACTTTCAAGGTGCCCTAAAAACTCTCAGAAATAGTATGGAGAGAGCTAGTTCTGGTTGTTGGCTGTTGGCTGACAGACTGAGGGACTTGCTCTCAGAACTAGCTGCGGGAAGGAGAGAGCTGAGGGGATGGGAGGGAGAGTCAGGCAGCTAGTTCTGGCTCTTGCTGCGGGGAAACCTGGTGGGTGAAGAGACGGCAGTGCTGGTTTCCTCTTGTGCCAGCAGCAGGGAGAAGCTGAGGGGAGGGAGAGAAACACTCGAGATCAGTTCCCTTTCCCCCTCTACCATCTCCCCTTCCCCTCCTTCTGAGTCGCTACCACATGCGAGCACACTCTCAATAGAGTAACCTGGTGCTGCGTACCCATGTTTGCTTCTAGATTGATTAGAGCCCACTGCCATGTCACGAGGAGCAGTTGCCAGGTCAGAAGCAGCGGCAGCAACAGCGGCTGCCACGTCAGCGAACATCAGAACGTCCACCTCATCATTGAAGCGCACGCGGGAGGGCGTTCGGCGCCCGTCAGAAGTTGGAGTGTGAGTGTTGTCACGGCTGTTAGAGGATGGAGTGGCGGGGTAATTCGAGGTGCGAGTGTTGTCATGGCTGTGGGCTGACAGACTGAGGGACTTGCGGAGGTTGCGGCGGCGGTTAGTGGGACCGGGAGCGCGGAGGTGAGACGAGATTTGAGTCGAATCAACAGCGGGATGCAGGTCATACGCGGGGGATTGGGTATCAGTTGCGGGGGAAAGGCCTCTGCGGTTGTCAAATGTCATACTCAGTGACTTGCGGTGCCTTCTGCCTGCGACGGGAGCGGCATGGCGACTGTCACGAGATTGGCTTGGCTTTGAGTCATAAGGCTGGCTGTCATAAGGCTGGCTATCATAAGGCTGGCTGTCAAGTGTCATACTCAGGGACTTGCGGTGTGTGCGACGGGGCGTGGGACAGCTGTGCGACAAGCTTCGCACCGACTTTGCCGGCTGATTCAAGTCCGGCGTGGGAGAGGGAGGGTCGTTTGCGGTGGGAGTGGCACTGCCACGGCTGTCGAATGTCATGCTAAAGGACTTGCGGCGCTTTCTGCTTGCGACAGGAGCAGCACGAGAGGTGTCACGCGACTGGCTTCGCTCTGAGTCGAAAGGTTTGCTGTTGTCAGGAGTGGAAGTGTGAGGGTCGATCGGGTGGATCGGGGCGGGACGGCCGCTGCTGTCGAATGTCATGCTGAGGGACTTGCGGTGCTTTCTGCTACGATCCCGGCCACTGCTGTGAGATGAGCCTCGAGTCGACTTGAAAGAGGGATGGAGGTCAGGCGTGGGAGGGAGACGATTGTAAGGGGGATTGCTTGCAGAGGAAGCGGAGCCATGGCTGTCAAATGACATACTGAGGGACTTGCGGTGGGTGCGACGGGCGATGGTGGTGATGGTGGTGGTGGTGGTGGTGCTGGTGGCACTGCTGCTTCTTCTGGTGGTGCTGGTGATGCCATCTCTGCTGCTGCTGCTTCCAATGCGCTGTCCTGTCCCGTTGCTGCTACCAGCCCTGTTCACACCACGGCCACCTTGCTGCTGCTGCTGCTGCTGCTGCTGCTGCTGGTGGTTCTGCCAGTGTTGCGGTGGTTTGCTCTCCTCGGATTGACTACGACCAATCCGCATTCCTCTTTGAATTCCACTACCTTCCATCCGCCTCTCCAGCACCTCTCCTCCCCTCTCGCTGCGAACAACACTGTTCTGCTGCTGCTGCTGCTGCTGCTGCTGCTGTTGCTGTCGCTGCTGCTGTCGCTGCTGCTGTCGCTGCTGCTGCTGTTGCTGCTGCTGCAACTGCTGCTGCTGCGGCTGCTGCCAGTAATGAGGCCGATGGCTCTCCTCAGACTGACTGCGACAAATCCGTACCTTGCTTCCGCTTCCACTCTCTTCCATCCATCTCCCCAATCCCTCTCCTCCCCATTTGCTGCTCACCACCTTTCGAGGCCTTGAAAAAGGCTCCTCCTCTTCTTTCCTCCACTCCTCTCCCTCCCTCCACTCCTCTCCCTCCCTCCCCTCCTCCCTCCACTCCTCCTCCTCTTCCTCCTCATCCCTGAGTGGCTCATACGAGTCATCAAAATGGATACCCGCACCTACCTTCGGGTAGTTATTGACAGGGTTAATTGCATACGTACCCATATCCAGTAAGTAAGCGCTCGGGTAGATTTCAAAAGCACCCAAACTAATCGGGTACTCTTCTGGGTTAGTCTCAGGGTAGAATCCAAGTTGTTTATCTTCTGCTTCCTCTCCTGCCCCCACCTCTTCCTCCTCCTCCGCTTCCCTCTCTCCTAGTTGTGACACAAGCGGATGTGCTCTTAATGGAGTTGCAGAGGAAAGGGAAACGGGAAGGGGAAGGGAAAGGGGAGCGGAAACAGGAAGCGGAAGGCAGTCAGAGGGTCGAACGCTTTTCTGATGCGACTTCTGAGGCGCCTCAAAAGGAGCAGACGCGGGGAGCGGAGGGCAGTCAGGCTTTTCTGATGCGGAAACAGGAAGCGGACGACAGTCAGAGGGTCGAACGCTTTTCTGATGCGGCAGCAGCAGGCTGCCACCGTTGCCGTTGGTAACCTGGTTACTGCTGGAGGTAACCTGGTTACTGCTGCTGCTGCTGTTGAGTGTAATCTGGATACTGGTAACACTGCTGCTACTGCTGCTGTCACTTTGCCAGTAGCGCTCCCCACTTTCAGCAGCAACAGAACGACCAGCAATATCAGCAGCAGCAAAGCCAGCAGAGTCAGCAGCAGCAGTATTATAACCACCTCCCCCATCCTTCTTCTCCCCTTCCTTCTCCCGTTCCTGCTGCTGTTGCCCCTTCCCTTCGTTATAGTCACCATCATCCACCCACCCTCTGCTACTCCTCCAAGGCTGTGTATTGGCTCGCTTCAGTATCCCTGCTTTAGGAGACTTAAAAGCTGAAGACTTATACCGAATCGCTCTGTATGAAGTATGAGACTCAGCTGCACCTAGAGTATCCTTCTGCTGCTGCTGCTGCTGCTGCTGCTGCTGCACGCTGTGAGTAGCGCGGGAATGGGAATGACGAGGTGATACGAGGTGCATATAACGAAGGGGGTCTGTGGAGAGAGCTTGCACGCCTGGGATGGATACAAACGGGGGCGTTGCCCTCGTTACTGTCACATCTCCTGCCACACCAATCGTGCTTCTCGTAGCGGATGTGCTTGTATAGGATGACCTTGGGTCTGTATTATGTCTGACCAGTGCTGGGCTGGCATGGAGGACGAGTGGCGGAGGGGAGGGGCGGCGAAGTTTGGCTGCTGCATTCAATGTGCTTGTAGTGACGGATGTGCTTGTATCGAATGGCGCTGTGTCTGCTGTGTTTCGCACCCCTGCTGAGTTTGCATTGAGGAAGAGCGGGGGAGGGGAGGGGCGACGGATTTTGGCTGCTGAATCCAACGTGCTTGTTGGAGCAGGTGGGGTAGAAGCGGATGTGCTTGTATCGAATGGCCTTGGGTCTGTTTTATGTCTGATCAGCGCTGGGCTTGCATGGAGGAATTGAGGGGGAGGGGAGGGGCGGCGAATTCTGGCTGCTGCTCGTGCAGCGATTGCAGCAGCTGATTCAAAAGATGAAGAGGGAAACTCGGAGGTGGGAGACGGAACCCTAGGCGCATCAACAACTGCTGCTGCTCGTGCGGCGATTGCAGCAGCAGAACCAGAAGAAAAAGCGGGAGACGAGGAGACAAAAGATGAAAAGGAGGGAGATGCGGAGACAGGAGGTGGAACCATTGGCGCATCAACAACTGCTGCTGCTCGCGCGGCAATCGCAGCAGCAGACTCAAGAGATGAAGAGGCAATCACGGAGACAAAGGAAGAAAAAGAGGGAGACGCAGAGACAGGAGGTGGAAGGATAGGCGCCTCAGAAACTGAGCAGAAACTTGAGGGGTTTTCTCTTTGTGCCACCACTGCAGCAGAAAACCCCTCAGGTACATATCCCCGCCCCTGCCCCTGCCGCTTCCCCTCCCCCTGCCCCATCAGCAGCAGCTGCTTGTGCTGTTGTGCCGACTGTTGCTGACCCTGACCTTGCTGCCCCCCATTCGAGTTTTGAGACGTCTCAAAATACCCCTGCCCCTGCCCCTGCCCCTGCTGCTTCCCCTCCCCCTGCCCCATCAGCAGCAGCTGCTTGTACTGTTTTGCCCGCTCTTGCTGACCCTGACCCTGCTGCCCCCCATGCTGCTGCATTACCTCCTCCTGCTGCCCCTCATGCTGCTGCATTCCCGCGTGCTGCCACTGCCATGCCTGCAGCTCTGCCTGTCCGTACTGCTGCCAGTTCCTGTCTCCCCTTTCATAAATCGAGCTGACAGAACGCATACTAGACGCCGTGGGAGAAGGAGCCTTCCGAGTCGACACAGAGGGAGCCTTCCGAGTCGACTCAAAAGCTACCTCTGCTTGTCCGTACTGCTGCCAGTTTCTGTCTCTGCTCTCGTGAGTCGAGGTCACAGATCTCCTAGGGGAGGACAGCCTAATACGCGACTCAGAAGCCACTTCTGACTGCCTGTGCTGCAACTCATAAGCCTCCTCTGTCTGTCCATACAGCTGCCGGTTTCTGTCTCTGCTCTCATGAGGCGAAGTCACAGATCTCCGGGGGGAGGACAGCTTTCTATGCAACTCAGAAGCCTCCTCTGCCTGTCCGTACTGCTGCCTGCTTCTGTCTCTGCTCTCATGAATTGAACTGATCGACCGCTTAGGGGAGGGAAGTCTATGAGTCGACTCATAAGCCACTTCAGCCTGTCCGTACTGCTGCCTGCTTCTGTCTCTGCTCTCATGAATCGAACTGGCCGACCACTTAGGGGAGGGGGAATTCTTAGCTGTCTTATTCACCTCATCTGCCTGTCTGTGCTGCTGCTGTTTTCTGTCTCTGCTCTCATGAATCGAACTCACGGCCCTTCGAGGGGAGAGAGGTGGTCGAGATTGCTCCAACGCCTTTTGAGGCGCCTCAAAAGATTGCACCAACGCCTGCTGCTTTTGCTGCTGCTGCCACAATCCCTGCTGCCATTCCGAATGCTGTTGCTGCCACTGCCCCCGTTGCATATGCCTCTGCTGTTGCTGCTGCTGCTGCTGCTGCTGCCAGTCTGAGTGTTTTCCCCTCTGCCCATCGCCACCGCCGCTCTCACCACTGCTATAAGAAGAAACGCTTCCCTGTGACAAGATGGCGCTTTCATAAGGAGCATCATCCCTCTGTGAAACAGCAGCAGATGACTTTTGAGTCGACCCAAATGCCATCTCGCTCCCCTGCAACAAAAAGCTGCTTTCGAAAGAAACATCCCTCGGAAAAAAAGCCGCAGAAGGACCTGCAACGACAGCTGCAGCACCACTCCCTCCCCCACCCCCAGCAGCAGCAGCGCCACCAGCACCAGCACCCCCTCCCCCACCCCCAACCCCACCACCACCAGCCGCAGGGGCAGCTGCAGCAGCAGCAGCAGTACTACCAGAAACGCCCTCCCTTTGTTCTCGAGACGGCCGGCGTTCCACTGCAGCTGAGTTCCACCTTCGGTTCACCCGAGCAGCAGCGTTAGCGGCCACTAGCCGCGTGTTGCTGCTGCTGCTGCTTTTGTTGCTCACACCAGTGGTGGTGCTTGTGCCGGTGTTGCCTGTAGTGGTATGGCTTGATGCAGCAACAGCAGCAGTTGCAATACTCTCACCTTCCCAAGAGCCAAAATCAGCCCACCGCTGCCCCAACCGTTTTTTCTCCAATGGATGGGCGCCAGCTGGCACTTGCCACCCCTCCCTAACAACCGGCTCATGAAAAAGCGACGCATAAGCCGTTGACTCGTTAAGAGCAGACTCGTTAGTAGACGACCCAGCAGTAGCGGCTCCAAAAGCTGTTGTGGCAGCAGCAATGCCAGCTCCTTGCATTGACAATCTTCGACCACCCCACTTACTGCGGGCTGCCTCAAGACTATCTGGGACTAAAAGCCTCTCGTGCTTTTGCTCCTCCTTGTTACCACCTCTACTAGAAGCAGCAGCAGCAGCAGCAGCAACAGCAGCAGGAACACTAATTGTCCGCCAGAGAGCAGAAGGCACAGACTCCTCCCTTGCACTGTCATTCAAGGCCGTGCCAAGCTTTCCCTGAATATCAAGCCTCTCATACTCACCAAGCCGCTCCAGGGCATTCAGGCGAGGAATCTGAGCATTTGTGAGCCTTCCTTCCCTTGCTCTTGCACCTCCTGCACTCTTGCTGCAATACACGGCCACCTCTGCATCATCATTAAGGGTTGCGACCCCGGTCCTCCCACCAGCACCAGCAGGAGCACCAACGGCACCACCAGCACCAGCACCACCAGCACTAGCAGCACCAATGGCACCAGCAGCAGCAGCACCAACGGCACCAGCAGCAGCAGCAGCAGCAGCGGCGGCGGCAGTAGGAGCAGCAGCAGGGACACTAGTTGTTCGCCAGATAGAAGATGCTCCATTCTCCCCCGTTTCACTGCCACTGATGACACAGATGTTGATGTTGCTACCACCGCCATCACAACTGCCGTCCCTGCTGCCTGTGCCGCTTTCGCTGCTGCGGCTGCAGTGGTGGCTCTGCTGACTCTGCCCATACTCCCACCCATACTGCCCGTCACTGTGCCCATAGCTCTGCCCGTAATTTTGCCCCGAATTCTGCCCCGAATTCTGCCCGTAAAAACTACTCTGCCCCTGGTTGGAAGAATAACGTGCCTGTGCAGGGTTGTTAGCTCCAATTACACCCCTGTGCCATGCCATTGCCACACCACCACCACCGCCACCACCACCCACAGCAGGCACAGCAGTCGCAGCAGCAGGTGTGACTCTATCAGAAGTCTTCAAAACAGGGGCGAATTCCCCACTTGATTCTCTTCTTCTTCTGCTAGCCCAATCACCATTACCATTCCCAGTGCCATCGCCATTGGCATACCCAGTGACACCCAGACTGACTGTGCGACCAACAGCAGCAGGCCGTGCGGTTCGCTGCTTGGGCGAACTCTGAGGCGCCTCAAAAAGCATCTCGGCGCGACCAACACCAGCACCAGCACCAGCAGCAGCAGCACCACAAGCGGTTTGTTGCTTGGGTGACTTGAGAGCTGACCCAGAGCCGGTTCGGGGCGTCTTGGGCGTTAAGGGGGGCAGAGGGGACCGCGATCGGAACGACGGGACAGTGATTGTCAAACCAGCACCGCTGCCACTGCCACCACCAGCAGCACCACCACCACTACCAGCAACAGCAGCACCACCATCACCTCCCCCAGCAGCAGCAGCAGCAGCAGCAGCAGCAAGAGGAGGGTCTTCAGCACTTGACGGCGCAAGGAGGGGAAGAGAGAGAAGGCGGGACCGGAAAAACCCGAGCTTTCCAGGGGACTTGGGTTGCAAGGAGGAAGAGGAGGCGGCAGAGGTAGAGAAAGAGGGAGGAGGAGAGGCAATCGGACTCACTCCAGCTGATCTCCCTCCGTACCCCCTTCCAACCCCTGCTTCCCCTCCTCCTTCACCTCCTCCACTTCCCTTCCCAACCCCGCCTCCATGGCTCACTCGTCCTGCTCCTCCCCCGCCCCCCCATATATTGCGTCCCTTCCCTCCTCCTGTGTTATTCTCTGGGCCGGAAAGGCTTCTTCTCCTCCTGAACCCACCCCCTCCTCTCTCTTCCCTTCCTCCCTCGTCCCCCCCTCTCTCTTCCCTCCCTCTCTCTGCTCTCTCTTCCCTCGCCTTCAATTTCTCCTCTCTTTCCTTCTCCCTGCTCTTTCCCCTACTCTTCTTCTTCTCTTTCCCCTTCTCCTTCCCGCGTTCCCTCCTGCCTCTTTCCCCCTTTTCCTTCTCCCTTTCCTTCTGCCACTCAACCACGATGCCCCTAGCTTCTCTCTCTGCTGCAGCTACGGTGCTGCTGGTGTCGATCGGACAGCCGTCGGACGATATGGGAAGGATCGTACGGCTGTGGTCGTCTGTGTACTTTCGCCAGCATGCCTATTTCGGGTATGATGGTGGGAGCGGGGGGAGTGGGGAGGCGAGGTGAGGGGGTGGGGCAGGGAAAGGATGAGCGGACGGGAAGGTTGAGAGAATAGCACAACGCAAGAGAACACATAATGGTCGAGGTCTAAACAAAGGAACAAATCAAAACAGCGAACGTGAATATTTTCAAATGTTCATGTACAAAACACATCAGAACACAACTTACCTGCAGTATGTTGGTGGCGAAGACGTCAAACTCGGGGAGCCAGGGGTCGGGTTGCACGTGCGCGTGCAGGAACAGCTGCCACGCCGCGTTCGCCTGCGCCACCACCCCCAGCGCCCTCTCCGCCCCCTGCTCCGCCACCCGCATGCGCGGGAGAAATGACGGCTTGTCCGCTGGGTTAGGAAAGGGGAGGTGAGGAGGGAGGAAGCGGAGGAGGAGGGGGAGCAGGCGGGAGGGGAACTATTTAGCAGAGGGAGCGGGCAGAAAAGGGGAAACTGATAGGGGGAACAGTCGGGGGTGAATTTTGAGTCGACTCAAATGGGGAAACTGATAGGGGGAACAGTCGGGGGTGAACTGACAGGGGTATGCTCACCTGCACTAGTGGCGTCGCACACGGCCAGCCACGCGTAGATTTCTTCCAGCCTGCCCGGCATGAACTCGGGCAGCTCATCCAACTCGTTCACCATGTGCGCCACGGGATCCCCTCCACCAATCGCAACCACCACCCACGCCAATCCCTCCTCCCGCACCACCGGAATCGCGCCAATCGGTTTCACAGTATGTACCTGCCCGAGTTTCGCGGGCCGACGGGAAAGATCTAGAACTTCTAATGCTGTTCCGCATCCCGAAACGCCACCAAATTCGTCCACTTCCTCCTCGGGATCCTGCCACGTCTGCGGGAGCGAGCCGATGTGCCACGGCGCGTCGCGAGCAAAGTGCGACGGTTCGCCGTTTCGCGAGTTCGGTGTAACGCGTAACGGCGTGTATTCTTCCGGTGCGAAATCGTGTTTCGCCCACGTCCCTCGCGGCGTCGTGCAAACGAAATTCAGCCACGTGTTTTTCCCGTATAAAGGAATATTATGCCACGGTGACACTATATGCCCGCCATTATCCAGAAACATCATCCTAAAACCTAGTGACCCCGGGGAACCGAACTGAACCGCGTGACCTTCTCCACCCGTCTCGCCCCACGATGCTTCCGGAACTTGTGGCTGCTGACACGTTTCGTCATACTCCCGATCCAGAAAGCTACTAGAAGCAGGGTCATCATTGCAACAATCACCTACGGACCTGCTCGTCGGAAAAATCAGGTCTCCCTCCTTCAGCACGATCGGATCCGCGCCTCGTTGCTCTAAGAGCGGTGCGATCGCCGCATCTGACGGCGGTAATCGCGCAGGCGCCAACACGGGGAGTGAGTTGAGTCGAACCGGCGGCGGACGGTTTTTTTCGTTCTGCCTTCCATTCGCTGGCTGCCCAAACTGTGTCCACGTGGCCTTCTCCCTCTGCGGCGCGACTCGGCTACTACTGGAAGTGAACGACCGCTGCCACATGGTGTCTATCGCGCGGTGCGCAGCGCGTACGCGCAGCGCCCGCGCGAGTCTTTTTTATCACCTCGACGATCAGAAATGGACGGCTGCCGCATGTTACCCCCACCGCGTTCGCCGTGTTTCGCGCATGGCGTCCGCAGATGCGGCGCCTGACTCAGGTGACATATCTCGTGTGCTCAACGCCAGCTACATCGGGGAGAATCCCGCGACGGTAAAAACGGTAGGCCGTAGCGTGCGCCGCCTACCGTCAACCCTGCGAGTAATACGAGCTACGAAGAGACCCGAGTCACGAAAATCTCCGGCGGAAGCTTTGCGGAAGTTGCGGGCCGTGAATAAGTCCGACTCACGTCACAAGAGACCGTGAGTCACGGTGACACCAATACGGAAAGGCTTCGCGAACTTCACGGGGCCGTGCAGGAGTCAAGGTGTCGGCGACGCGTCATACGTCACACGTTGATCGGCCGTGATACCGAATGGGAACAACACGCGCTCCCACAAAAGACTTACCGATGAGATTTTTGAGAAATCAGAGAACTAGTTCCGTCTATGAGAGGCAGAACCCTGACTGTGGAGTGTTGAGACTGAGATATATTTGAAGAAAACTCTCGCCATGCTCTGTCTGAGGATGTTCACGATTGTGACGATTCGACAAAACTTTGCACTATTTTATTAGCCTGTCATTGCAAACCCTCCATTACGACCATCGGTTAAGCAACTTCTCGAAAGAGGAGGGACCCTCTAGCACTAACACATCACCTGGCTGGAGTAGGAAAGAAGGTGAGCGGAGAGGCGCGTGAAATTTGAGGCAGGCACTCTTCACAAGTGAAACCGCTCGTTTGGGAGCGATAAATCACAAAACTGCGATAAATCTTGTTTGGGCCCTTATCAGACCTACACGTAGCTCATTCAACCACAATTTCGAAATGTTGGGCTCATCAAGGGGCAGATGAGATGTCGTGTCTTGTGACATGTGAGTGCAAGTTGGGCATTCGCCTCGTTTTGTTGTTACGTGTACAGCACCGTATGTTGACCTGACAGGGCGTTGGATACGACGAATCGCACAGTTGAAGTCAAATTTCCCCACTGAGCTGCAAATCTTTCGCCTGTCATGTACAGCATCCCCATTCTGCACTCCACTGAACTGTCCTGTATTTCGAAATTCTTAAAGCTGCGATCTACATACCTCAAGCGGGAGGCAAAGGTTTATTACTTGAAAACAGGGTAACACTGTCCCCAAAAGTACCCCTTTGCGGAGAAACGAAAGTCGAGGCGGAAGGAGGGAGGGGGGTGGGGGTAAGCAGCCCAACAGCCGAAACAAAGTTCGCCAGATTAGAAGTTGACCCCGCACAATGTGACAATGTGTGGGAAGAACGAGTCCAGACACCTCCCACCATTTTTTTTTTTCGTAGCTAACGCTCGTTGTTGGGTCTGGTCTCGCGACGCGCAACAAGCGTCACGTGCAATGTTCAAAGTCGCCAGAACCGACAACATGACGAAATGTTCATCGCACTACAGTACCACAGACACCACAGTCGAACCCGCGGTATGCGTTGAGAATGTGATATTTCTTTTTTTTTAGGTAAAAGATGTACACCGAGCAGAACAAGCATACATGATCAATAACAGTCGTGACCGTAGAATGTGATATCTTGATACATACCGTTCGTCAAACACTTACAAAAGTTTATGCGTACATTCTTTTCTACACTTACAAAAGTTTATGGCTCTTTCAAACATATCACATACCACAATATAGTGAGGCATATTCGTTAGCTTGGGACTGTACAGTTATCGAGGCCCTTGTTAGAGACTATTTGCTTGTTGTCAGCACACGAAGCTCCTAGAATCTACTTTTACTGGAAAATCAGAGCGCATTTCTAGGCGCACACTAGGAGGTCTCTCTGGCACAAGGCGTTGTATAGCGAGGCGAGGTCGGCAGCAGTGATAACGGGCTTCAATTCAACCCACGGAAAGTTTTGTTTCAGGCGATCCGCGCGCTTGCCACCATGTCGGTCATGAATCCGTTATATTCAGACGCGTTGCTTTGTATTAAAAAGTAGGACTCTCAAGGCGCAGCATTATAATCAGAACGCTCTTCATTCGTACGAACGGTTCGCTCGGTGTCCACGTCTCCGCAAATTCGCCGCAGCGCCATTCGCCCCTGCTGAGTCTTGAGACGTCTCAATACTCGGTTCGCTCGTTGCCCGCATTCCCATACATTCGCCCCAGCGCCATTCGCGCCTGCTGCTGCTGGGATGGAGTGCGTGGTTCAGGGAATCATTGAGAGTAAGGTGCGTGGCTCAAGGAATGATTTGAGAATAGCAAGGCACATCGAAGGTCTTTTAGGCGGCTCAAGGATGGAGTGCGTGGTTCAGGGAATCATTGAGAGTAAGGTGCGTGGCTCGCTGAATGATTGAGATGCATGTATTTGACAATCATTCCTTGAGACTCCCTGTCTCCCGCTTCCTAATCAACCCTCTCGCTCTCGCTCCCCCCACACCTGCTCTCTCCCCCTCCCATCCACCCTCTCCTCTTTCTCGCCCTCCTTTTCCTTCCCATCCCCCCACCAGCATGTGCGTGCACTGGTGGAGCTTATAGAGGGGATGACAGGCGCCAGAGAAGAGAAGCTGGATCTACACCAGTTAGTGTACAGAAACGCACCCAATATAGGTACTGTGTGAAAAAACGAGTGTTCATGCTCCATGCATCATGTGCGTGCACTGGTGGAGCTCATAGAGGGGATGACAGGGGCCAGGAAGTAAAGTCAGGTCTACACCACTTAGTATACAGAAACGCACCCAATATAGGTATCGCGGGAGAAGAAGTGTTCATATTACATGCATCGTTTGCGTGCACTGATGGATCTTATAGAGGTACACCCTGGGGCCAGGGAGGTAAAGTTGGATGTACACCAACTAGTGTACAGAAACGCACTTAATAAAGGTACCGTGTGAGAATGTTCATGTTCTATGCTCTATGCTCTATGCTCTGTGTTTCATGCTTCACGGAGCATGCATCAATCGTCATGCCCCATGCCCCATGTCCCATGCCCAATGCCCCATGCCCCATGCCCCATGCCCCATGCATGATGTATGATGCATGATGTTAGGTCTAGGGGTCGTCCCTACTAGTGTGCAGCGACTACAGTGAAAGGGCTTCTATTCCCTCATAGTGTATCTGTTTTCCACTCCCTTGTACCGCGTTGCACCGTGTTGTACCGCGCGTATCCCACCAGGAGCCATACCCTGTGAGGTTCGACTGGAGTGCCCTCTCAACTGCACCCCACCCATATGGTATGCCATACATGTCATGCACGTGGATGGCATGGGATGCATGGTATGGTCATGGATGGGATGCTATGCATGGGATGCATGGTATCGTCATGGATGGGACTCCTCATTCTGTTCAGGAGCATTGTATGATCCCATGCCATCCATGTTCATACCAAACCCGAAACTCGTTGTTGCTTCTCCCCTTTCCCCCATCCCAGTACCATGGTGCATGTGAGTGAGAGGGGCGATGAGGGGGGGGGGTGCAGCATAGTGCATTGGAGAGCATCCCTTTCTCTTCCCCCTTTCTCTTCCCCCTTTCTCTTCCCCCTTCCTCCCCCAATTCGCCTGTCCCCTGCTTCCCCTCTCCTCCCTCTGACATTCAGGACCATGGTGCATGTCGGGGGGGCAATGAGGGGAGCGGGGGCGGACCAGTTGACTTGCCTCGTACGCAGCATAGTGCGTGTGAGGGCATCTCCATCAGTGATACACCTCGTACCCGCTATAGGCCTCCGGCTCGACCACGAGGTATGGTTTTGGATTGCCTTAACGAGTGCTGCTGCTGCTGCTCCTAGTTATTCACCTCCAACTTCGTCCTTTGAGGGTGCTGGTTCTGCCTTTGACTTTCCCCGTCGCTCCCACGTCATGACGTTTCAGGCCTTTGCTCTGCTGCACCTGCCACCCTGAAACCCCCTCCTTCCCCATTCAATTTCCCACAGCTGATCTGTCGTGGATCCGCCTTGATTTCGCCCATCGCTCCCACGCCATGAGGCTCGAGGCCTTTGCGCCGCTGCACCTCTCACCCCCCACCCCATTCGCTTTCCTTCCCCTTCTAATCCCACACAGCTCATTCGTCGTGAATCCGCTTTTGACTTCGCCCATCGCTCCCACGCCATGAGGCTAGAGGCCTTTGCTCTGCTGCGCCTGCTACCCCCCGCCCCCTCCCTTCCTTCCCCCTCCATCCAACCCCCCTGCAGCTTATCTGTCGTGGCTCTGCATTCGACTTCACCCATCGCTCCCACGCCATGAGCCTCGAGGCCTTTGCTCCGCTGCACCTCTCACCCCCCACCCCATTCGCTTTCCTTCCCCCTTTAATCCCCCACAGCTCATCCGTCGCGGCTCTGCATTCGACTTCGCCCATCGCTCCCACGCCATGCGGCTAGAGGCCTTTGCGCCGCTGCGCCTGCCAAGGCAGCATGCAGTGAGCGACGCGCAGCCGCTGCCCTCTCTGGCCGGGCTGCATGTGGTGGAGGTGACAGCTGCCGCTGCTGCTGAGACCTACTCAGAGACTGCTGCTGCTCTCAACTCATTCGCCGAGCTAATCGCTCCGTGAGTCGTTTCTGGGTGTTGGGTTACTTTTCAATGGTCTGTGTGCGTTGTGCGTTGTGCGTTTCAATGGTCTGTGTGGTCTGTGTGTGTTGTGCGTTGTGCGTTTCAATGGTCTGTGTGGTCTGTGTGCGTTGTGCGTTTCAATGGTCTGTGTGGTCTGTGTGCGTTGTGCGTTTCAATGGTCTGTGTGGTCTGTGTGCGTTGTGCGTTGTGCGTTTCAATGGTCTGTGTGGTCTGTGTGCGTTGTGCGTTGTGCGTTTCAATGGTCTGTGTGGTCTGTGTGCGTTGTGCGTTGTGCGTTTCAATGGTCTGTGTGGTCTGTGTGCGTTGTGCGTTGTGCGTTTCAATGGTCTGTGTGGTCTGTGTGCGTTGTGCGTTGTGCGTTTCAATGGTCTGTGTGGTCTGTGTGCGTTGTGCGTGACGCGTACCCTGCCGCTGCCCTCTCTTGCCGGGCTGCATGTGGTGGAGGTCACAGCTGCCGCTGCCGCCGAGACTTACACGGAGACTGCTGCTGACCTTAGTTCATTCGCTGACCTTAGTTCATTCACTGTCCTTAGTTCATTCACTGTCCTTAGTTCATTCGCTGTCCTTAGTTCATTCGCTGTCCTTAGTTCATTCGCTGTCCTTAGTTCATTCGCTGACCTTATAGCCCTGTAGGTTGTTTTCGGTATGATTGCATTATAGAGGTCGCCTAGCCACTGCCCGCTGCCCTCCCTGGCCGGGCTGCATGTGGTGGAGGTGACAGCTGCTGCTGCTGCTGCATGCACTTTCCCAACCCAACCCCCCTGTTCCTCCTCTCCCCCTTGCTATTCCCTTCAGTGTACCTTAGTATGTCCCCTGCTGCTGCTTCAACTGCAGCTACTGATTTCCATCCTCACCCCAACCCCCATGCCCCCACCCTTTCCCCCCCCGCTCCCCTTGGTTACCCCAGTTTGGTTCGACTATCAAAGCCCACCATCTCTGCTGGTCTCTCGCCTGCTGCTGCTTCAACTGCCGCTTCTGTTTTCCATCCTTCACCACACCCCACATGCCCCATCCTCCCATTCTTTCCCCCCCTGCTCCCCCTTGGTTACCTCAGTTTGGTTCGACTATCAAAGCCCACCATCTCTGCTGGTCTCTCTCCTGCTGCTGCTTCAACTGCTGCTGCAGTTTGCCCTGCCTAGGTTTGTGCTGCAGGAATATGGTATACATTCGGTTTTGCACAATGTAAACCCTTGTTATTGATCATTTCTAAAAAAAAAAAAAAAAAAAAAAAAAAAAAAAAAAAAAAAAAAAAAAAAAAAAAATTGCTGTCAGAAGTCCTCTGGAGATCTTCGATTGATCCTAGGGAAGGGTTACAGGCACGTTGGCCTGGGGGGTTATGGGCGCATTCACTCACTACATAAACAAGCCATTTTATCTTATTGGTTAGTAGCTGGGATTACGACAATTGCTCACTAGTGAGCGGATAGTTCAATAATCTAAAAAAAAAAAAAAAAAAAAAAAAATCCAACTTGCAGTTTGTTATTAACAGTTACGTACTCTCATTTCTCATAGATACCGTACGATAGATACTAGTTGAACTCTTCAGAAATGTGCATGAATCCTTTCAGAAAATCCACATGTTTGCTTTTCCAGTTACAATATCAGCATAAACAAAACCTTACAAACTTAACTCATGTCACTATTTTATTACAAAATTTCAGGAAAACAAATCCAGCACACAGTCTTTCCTTTCCTGTGCCAGCTGTTTTACCATATCGGTAGTTACAAGTAGTAATCGCCCTGCTTGGATGTAGCTTTCAAGTCCTTAAGCTTGCGCAGAATCTGGGTGTAGTACTCCTGCAGGTACTGCTCGAGCGTGGTGGTGTCCTTGGGATCCAGCCCCAGCATCTTGTATGTCTCCGTCATGGGCGCTGAGAAGACAGCGTTGCTTGTGAGAACCTGTTAGTGGGGGATGGGCAAGAAAGGGATGACAGAAAAAGAGTTTTTCACATCAGCCCCAGCAGCTTAAAGCCTCAGTCATGGGCGCTGAGAACACCGCGTTACTGGTCAGCACCTGAAGGGGTGGCAAGAGGAATAATGGGGAGAGGGTAGGGTTAGGAGCAGTAATGAAGGCTTTGATGATCAACAGGGGCACAAGGAGAGCTGGGAGGAACAGCAGAAGTGGGAATAGAGGTGGATGGTGCAGTGGTGCTTGCGTTTTCAACCAATGACAAACTGGGTGTAATTACTGTGCTTACCCTGGGTGATACTGGTCTATCTGCCACGTCAGCTCACCTCAGAGAACGCCAGCCTGTCTGCCACGTCAGACGTCCACTGGAATAACTGCATGAACTTGCGCGTCACTTTCAGCACGCCCACGGGCACCGTCGTCACCTTGGCGTCCTGCCCTGCCAGGCGCTCACACAGCGCTATCACCTGCCAGAACAGGAATGAGCGTATGGGATGATGGATACAGCTTCCACAAGGGTAGGAGAGGCGCTAGAATCGTGCAGTGGTCACGCACAGAGGCTGTGAGAGTGCACAGAGGCTGTACCCACAGCCAGCATTCTTTGAACCCACCTATACTCTGTACTCCCGTTCTGTAGTTCAATGCCCTCACTGCCCTCTGAGAATCTCTCTGCTCTCTCTCTCCGTTCTCTACGTTTCCCCTCGTCTTCCCCTCCATCTCACCTCCTGGGTGGTCCATGCCCTGGGACCAGCGAGTGTGACGGTCATGCGGTATGTCTTCCCCACCCTCTTGCACTTTTCGGGTCTGACTTCACTCTTCCCACCGTCTCACCTCCTGCGTGGTCCATGCCCTGAGACCACCGAGGGTGATGGTCTTGCGGTAGATCTTCTCATTCCTAAGGACGGCCATGGTCATGCAAGCCACATCCTGCGAGACAGTACCCTCAATGCTCTCGATTTGACACTCTTTGCTCTCCCACTTGGCTATAAACCTCCTTAGTCTTCCCCACCGTCTCACCTCCTGCGTGGTCCACGCCCTGGGTCCAGCGAGGGTGATGGTCTTGCGGTAGGTCTTCTCATTCCGCAGGGCAGCCATGGTCATGCGAGCCACGTCCTGCGAATCAATGTATGCGATGCGCGTGGTGGCGTCTGTACCCCACACGGATTGCTCCTCCAGAATCGGCACGGCGTATTGGCCAATCAGCGCCTGCGCAGATGGGAATACAAAACAAGGAGAGATATTTCATTTCGTTAGTGTTAATGTAAGCAATTCGCGTGGTGGCGTCAGTGCCCCTCGAGATATCGGCAACGTGTTTTGGCCAATCAGAGCCTGCACGGATGGGGATGCACGTAAGGGATGGGGGTCGTAGCGTCTAGTGCATCCGCCCTGCAGGAGCAGGGTTATTACATTTGCACTGGGTGGTGGCAACACTCACGAGTGAGACGAGAGCAACTTATATTTACCTAAAATTTGGCGCAGAAATGAAGATAAAGCCCATTATTCCGTTCAGCCTTCCAGCTTCGTGCCAGCAAGGTTGTTTGGTGTGACAACACAGGGGCACCGAGATTGATTCAGTCTTACAGCAACACAGCCACGCAACCACGCATATGATATGACATCCATTTCGCACCTGCATGACGCCGCAGAGGCGGATGGTGGTGTAGTTGAGCGGGCTCTGCTCGAGCAGCTTCTCCGTGCAGCTCTTGATCTCCATCAGCGGCCTCTCGCCCACCCGCGCACCAACCCACCCAAACACCACTACCTGCTTGCTTCAACAGCCGCGTTTCGTTGCCTACCTGCATGAAGCCGCAGAGGCGGATGGTGGTGTAGTTGAGCGTGCTCTGCTCCAGCAGCTTCTCCGTGCACTTCTTGATCTCCATCAGCGGCACCTCGGGATGCTGCTCCGACTCGTGGATGGAGAAGAAGAGGTACCGCTGCACGCCCATCGCCTGCGCCGACTGAATCAGCGCCACCTTGCCGTCCCAGTCGACGGTGCGAATCGGCTCCTCGGGACGGCCGGTCGCGCAGTCGATGACGGTGTGCACGCCCACGAGAGCCGCCGGGAGGGTCTCTGGCCGTGTCAGGTCGCCCTGTAAAAGGAAATGAGCGAGGGAGCAGGGAAAGGGGAGCACGGGATTGAATCTACCGAGCGATTGAACTCCTCGGAGTGCCCCGGCGCGCACTTAATGACGCTGTGCACTCCCACGAGAGCCGCCGGGAGGGTCTCTGGCCGGGTCAGATCGCCCTGTTGAGGAAGATAGGTAAGAATGCGGAAAAAAGGGAATGGATTTCCCGTACGAATGGGCTCCTCGGGACGTCCCGTCGCGCAGTCGATGACCGTGTGCCCGCCGACCAGCGCCGCTGGGAGAGTTTCCGGGCGGGTGAGATCGCCCTGCTGTGTTCGGGGAAACGGGAGGGGAGACAGGGAGAACGAAGCACGAAATCGAGTTCACCGTGCGAACGGGTTCCTCGGGACGGCCGGTCGCGCAGTCGATGACGGGGTGCACGCCCACGAGCGCCGCTGGGAGGCCGGGTCAGGTCGCGCTAGTTGGGGAAAAGGGTAAAGGAACAACGGAATTCACATTTACTACATTACAGCTCACATTGGCGACATTACAGCTCACATTGGCGACATTACAGCTCACATTGGCGACATTGCAGCTCACATTGGCGACATTACAGCTCACATTGGCGACATTACAGCTCACATATACGGCACTAGAGCTCACGTGAGCGACAATCGAACTCACACGAACCACGCTAGACGTCACATTCAAGACAGTCAGACTCGTATTCACGACTACAATACTCTTATTTCACATCAAAAGTCACATTAAGGACAGTAGCACCTCAGTCGCGAAGGGAATTCGCAGGCTGCGGTCGAGGCCGCACGAGGCAGCGAACATTGAGTCGGCTTAAGTAAATGTCTTAGGCAACAGAACTCACATTGACGACAGTAGCTCCCCAGTCACGAAGGATACCGCGGGCTGTGGTGGAGGCCGCACGAGGCAGCAATTCATGAGTCGACCAAAAACTAAAACTCTTATTAGGCCACAAAACTCACATTGACGACAGTAGCTCCCCAGTCACGGAGGAAATCCGCGGGCTGTGGTCGAGGCCGCACGAGGCAGCGCACATCGAAACCGTCGTCCAGAAGCTTGCGAACGATCTGACGGCCCAGAGTCCCCGTCGCTCCCACGACAAGCACACTCGTTGTACGTACGGGCGTTCCTTGGAACGCGGTTACAGCCGCGGCGGAAGCGGCGGTTACTGGAGGAATGGCGGACGCGGAAACAGAAACGACATTAGTGCGGGGAACTGCCGTTGCGTTAAAGCTGCGGGATTCGCAGGAGAGAGAAATAGCCTGATTCAGCAAGTCTCGCGAAGCGAGGCTTCGCAGAGTAACATTCTTCTCAGAGCTTCGCAGCTCGCTTCCCAGCGACACGGATTTCAGCTGGCAAAACGTAGACGCAGTCATTGAGACGGCCATTGCTCTGATAATAATCTACGAAGATATTCGGGCCTTGACACAATAAGTGAGATGAGCTAAGGCCACGAAAGAAGTAAAGTGACAGGTGAAGTAATCTTGCTGTCTGGTTGTTGTGTGGTCTTTATATGAGAGGCGTGATGCAAGCAGAAATCAGGCGGCTAAATTTAGATGGGCAAGAAGAGTACACCTGTGGCCGTTCAGACTAGAACTTTGCAACCCCAGGGAAAATCTGATGTAATTGGAAGAGTGTTTACAAAGATCCAGGATTGCTGAATCTTTTATGAAAGTGCTGGAGACAGTTCGTGATTAATCGGACGGCCAGCGCGCCACCGCGATGGTGTCCAAATTTGCTCCACACCAACCCCGCGAAGGACAACTGGAAACACACCAAGCGAGGGACGGAGCTCTCAAGGTGACACGCAGTCCCAACCTACGTGGATAGCGTCAACGCTCGTCTAGCTCGATTGGGTATCAGGGGAGATTCTGACGTGGCGTTCGTGAATCCCTGAGCCTCCACGTTCGCGGACGCGTTACCAAAGGCCTCACAGCCGACTCGCGAATCTCCAACACAGAAGTTCCACGAATCTCCAATACAGAAGTTTTCACTCAGTATAAAGCGATGAGCTAAATGCAGGAGGAGCTCGCAGCGCATATGGCTTGTAAAACAAGTGTAGCAACTGTTAACAATGGGGCACTACAATTCCAAATAAATCTGTACCAGATCGCGTCGCACAACCTGGCATGCGGCTCCCTTGTGGAGTTTTTAAAAGAGGCAAGAACAGTTGCTTCTGCTTGAGTAGACTAAGTGATGCGGATAACAGTAACTTCTATAATGAAATGGCAGGTAAACAAACAACATGCCTAGGGACATACTGCAATTTTCCAGTCAACTCAAGAGTTACTTCTGCTTGAATCAACTGGTTTGTGAGTTAGCAACATCCCTAGGTGCATGGTGGAGCCTGAGGGTCCACGAGTGGAGAGGAGGTGGAGGAGGGAGAAGGAGAGAGAGAGGAGGAGGAGCGAGAAGGGAAGCGAATGGGGCAGGTGGCAAGGCAGGGAGTGAGCAGCACAGGATCGGTGTCTCGAGGGGGGGCACGCACTCCGAATTTGAACTGGTGGGAGAGGAGAAAAGAGGGGAGGGTGGGGAGTAAATGAAGGGAATGGGGTGAGAGAGACATAAGTTGATGTTTCAAAGCAAGGCAGGGAGTGGGCAGCACAGGATCGGTGTCTCGAGGGGGGGCACGCACGCCAAATTTGAACTGGTGGGAGAGAGAGGGAAGCAGGAAGGAGGACAGTAAAAAGGAGGGAGTCTCGATGAGTTAACCAAAGGGTGATGTTTCAAGGGAGAGAGCGAGTGAGCAGTGTAGGGTCGTTGACCCAAGGAGGGACATGCACGCCTGACTTGAACTGATGAGCAAGGAGGAGAGGGAACGGGAAGGGGGAGGTAGGGGAGATTTGTTTAGATTTCGCAAATATTGCTTATAAGGAGACCACGAGCAGTGGCACGAACAGCATGCTTAGCCAACCAAAGCACTCACCCAACAACCTGCAACCTGGTAACCTGCTCCTCCCACCCACCCAGCATCCCAGTCACCACAGTCACCTGGCAGCTGAAGTCCTAAAAAATTGGCTCCATCAGCAGCGGCATGCCCATGTCAGCCTAGCCAGCTAAAGCGTTCACCCAGTAACCGATAACCCGGTAACCAGTTCCTCCCTCCCACCCCACCCGATTACCGCAGTCACTCACCTGGCAGCTGAAGCCCTCACAGTTGGGCTTCATAAGCAGCGCCACACCCATGTCCTGAACTGAACCAGCATAAGCAGCAGCACCTGGTAACCTGGTAACCAGAGTCACTCACCTGGCAGCTGAAGTCCTCCCAAGTTTGGGCTTCATAAGCAGCGCCACACCCATGTCCGCTGAACCAGCTTGAGCAAACACACAACCATTATCCTGTAACCTGGTAACCAGTTCCTCCCATCCCAGTCACTACACGCACCTGGCAGCTGAAGTCCTCGAAGTTGGGCTTCATAAGCAGCGGCACGCCCATGTCACCTCAACCAGCTATAGCAGCAGCACCTGATAACCTGGTAACGCAGTAACCTGGTAACCCAAGTCACTCACCTCGCAGCTGAAGTCCTCAAAGTTGGGCTTCATAAGCAGCGGCACACCCATGTCCGCCCATGACCCAGCTTCCCCAACTTGATTAGTCACCCGGCATCCCAGTCACCTGGTAACCGTGTAACCAGCTGCTCCCACCAACCAGTATCCCATCACCCGAGCCACTCACCTCGCAGCTGAAATCCTCAAAGTTGGGCTCCATGAGCAGCGGCACGCCCATGTCCTGAAACATAAACGCCTGTGTTGGGGGGAAGTGGATGGGGGCAAGTGTGGGGGGGAGAGAAGGGGAGAGAATGAACGGGGGAAAAAGGTGAGAGGGGGAGGAGGAGGCACAGCAGTTACTTACTTACTGGACTGCATCCATCAGCAGTGGCACCCACCCGTACCCTGAAGACGGGACAGCAAGAGCGACGGGAGCGACAGCATGGGCATAGGTGCATGCACAGCATGGGCATAGGTGCATGCACAGCATGGGCATAGGTGCATGAACAGCATGGGCATAGGTGCATGCACAGCATGGGCATAGGTGCATGCACAGCATGGGCATAGGTGCATGCACAGCATGGGCATAGGTGCATGCACAGCATGGGCATAGGTGCATGCACAGCATGGGCGTAGGTGCATGCACAGCATGGGCGTAGGTGCATGCACAGCATGGGCGTAGGTGCATGCACAGCATGGGCGTAGGTGCATGCACAGCATGGGCGTAGGTGCATGCACAGCATGGGCGTAGGTGCATGCACAGGTATACGGACACATCCCTCCCCTAGTGACTTTTGAGTCGACTCAAAAGTCACCTCGTTACCCTGAAGACGGGACATCAAGAGCGATGGGAGCAACAGGATAGGCATAAGTGCATGCACAGGTATACGGACACATCCCTCCCCTCCCACAGCACGTGCACACGCACGCACATGCAGGTACCCACATTCACATACCTGAGTGGACTTCTGAGACTTCTCAAGAGACAGCATGGGCGTAGGTGCATGCATGGGTACACGGAGACATCCCTCCCCTACCACAGCACTTGCACACGCACGCACATACATGCATGAAGATACCCACATTCACATACCTGAGTGGGCATCTTGCGCGTGTGAATGCAGCTGCCAGCACATTTTGTTTGACTCAGTGCGCAGGTGCATGCCCGTGCATGCATGAGTACATGAATGAATGCACACACCTGAGTGGGCATCTTGCATGTGTGAATGCAGATGCAGCTGCCAGCTCATTTCGTTTGACCCAGTGCGCAGGTGCATGCCCGTGCATGCATGAGTACATGAATGAATGCACACACCTGAGTGGGCATCTTGCATGTGTGAATGCAGCTGCCAGCACACTTTGATTCGTCCAGGAACTTGCACTTCTCTATCTTCACCTGGTGGCGGGATGGTGTCGTTGAGAGGAGAGGGCGAGAAAGACACAGGAGAAGGAGCAAAGGCGGAGTATGGGGCGTTCAGAAGAAATGCTCACGCTGTGCCTCGCCCAGGAACTTGCACTTCTCGATCTTCACCTGGTGGTGAGCGAAGGACAGGTGTCGTGAATCCCCTCTGCTGTCCCTTCCTTCTCACTCTCCCTTGCATCCCTGCCTGACTTCCTCACTCCCTCTCCCTCCACCTCTCATCCAGGTGACCGGCTCATCCCTTCTTCCTCCTGGCGTATGCAATCACTCTGTTCTGATCCCCTCCTCGTATCTCAGGCTTCCCATGAAACAAGACTTAACTCCCTCGCAAGGGCTCCGCCGATTTGCTTCAGCTCCTCTCTACTGCTAGTTCCCCGTGGTTTAGGAAATCACAATTGCAGTAAACGAGAAACATACAAGCAAAAAGCAACGAGTCTGAGCGCTACCCCAGTCTACATCCCCTCCTGCCTAGGTGCCTTGTCCCGCAAGCTACCTCTACTCCTAAGCGCGAGTCAGCCGAGCTGATCGCGTAGGCTTCAAGGTGCTAGCTGGGTCCCACTCGGCCCACTAGGCATGCACCGCCTTCCAGCCTGGTGAATGGCGAATTGAATTCCCAGGCTGGCTTGAATCGAATTCGCCACCAACCTCCCCCCTAACCACCTCGAAATCCTCAGCAGCTCGACTCTGTATAGTACAGTAACATTCCAAAAGAGCAAACAAAGTAAAATGCAAAAAGCAGTAAACTATAGTACACCTCACCTTGGCTGCTGTGTAATTCACACTTAGTTGCCAGCTAGGTGTTAATCACGCGACAGCTGTCGTGAATCCCCTCTGCTGTCCCTTCCTTCTCACTCTCCCTTGCATCCCTGCCTGACTTCCTCACTCCCTCTCCCTCCACCTCTCATCCAGGTGACCGGCTCATCCCTTCTTCCTCCTGGCGTATGCAATCACTCTGTTCTGATCCCCTCCTCGTATCTCAGGCTTCCCTGCCCCCTCCCGTGACTGAGCACGCACCCGAGCTGCTCCAGACACGGGATCCAATGCCTGAGGCTTCTCCCTTCCCGCCCTGGCCACGTTGGTGATATGCTCCTTCAGGTACTCCCCTCGATCATCCTCCAGCACTAGCACCCCCGACTCCCTTACCTCTTTCACCCTCCATCGCTCCGGTCCCACAGCTAAGTCCAGCGTATCTCGCTTAGCCCTGCGCAGGTACACCTCCTGCCCCGCTTCCACTTGGTGACTCTTTCCTCCCATCCCTCCTGCTTTGCGCTGCTGGTACCGCCTTGCATCCCTCAGCTGCGCCACGTGTAGATTATCCAAGGCAGCTGGAGTCAGCTCTTTCAGATACCTCGCCCTCTTCTCCGCTAATCCCGCCCACAGGCTCGGCTCGTCCGCTTCAATCGTCGCCGAGAGCAGCTTCGGTGCATCCACAGGTAGCACCGGGTCCCGTCCGTACAGTAGATGATACGGGGACAGATGCTTCAGCGCTGCCTGCTTCGCAAACCGGTATCCCGCAAGCACCCACCAGAGATCCCTGTCCCAACTCCTCTTGTGTGTCTCTCCATAGGCCCGAAGTCCTTTCTTCACGGTTTGTATGAGCCTCTCTGTCAGCCCGTCCGATTGAGGGTGATACCTTGAGGTGACACGATGCGTAATGCCCATCTCCTCTAGCAGCTCATCAAAGCTCCCTTGAAATTCTGTCCCTTGATCGGTAAGCACCTCCCCACATGCACCGTACCTGGTCAGTACTAACTCCTCGAATGCGTCCGCTATCAGTGCGCTACTCTTGCTTGGTAATGCTCGCGCCTCCACCCATTTGCTCGTGTGCTCAACCATGATCAGGATGTACTGCTTCCCTCCTTTTGATAATGGTAACTCTCCTGCCAGGTCCAGCGACCACCTGTAACCTAACCCCCGAATCGGTAGTGAGTGCAGCTCCTCCCTCTCCTTTTCCAGCCTTGCTTTATTCCTTTGACAAGCCTCGCAGCTGGCTACCAGTCCTGCCACATCCTTCCCCATGCTTGCCCACCAGTACATGGTGCTCAGCAGCTGCCGTGTCCTGGTGATGCCGTAATGTCCCAGCTTCGCATGCACCTTCCCCATGATCCTGTTCCTCTCTTGCGGCTGCGGCACTACCCTCCATCCTTCGCTGGTCCTCAGCTGCAGCTGCTCCTGAAACCATCTGTAATGCTGCCCTCTGGCTCTTGCTCTCTCACTTACGCCTTCCTCCTCCAGTGGCTCCCCTTTGATCCAGCTCATGGTCTCCTCGTCCTCCCATATATCTGCTAACCGCTTCTCTCCCTTCTCCTGCCCCCAGCTTACGGCCACGGTGTGGGCTAAGGCCGCCAGCTGCGCTACCGGCTGCATCGGTGGTGGGTTCCTTGACAGCCCATCTGCATGCTGCAGTGTTTTACCCGGTCGGTGCCGGATCTCAAAGTCAAATCCCAACAACTTGATAGCCCATCGAGCGTTTCTTCCCGTCAGCTCTTGATTAGTCATCAACCATAGCAGTGGCTGATGATCAGTCACTAATGTGAAGTGCCGGCCCTGCAGGTATACCTTGAAATGCGTGATTCCCCACACTGCCGTCAGGCCCTCTCCCTCGTATGAGCAGTAGTTAGCCTCGGATGGGCTGCAGCTTCGGCTGGCAAAGGCTATCACTCTTTCCTCTCCCTCGATTTCTTGGCAGAGCACCGCTCCCATTCCCGTACTGCTCCAGTCCGTGTACAGGATGAAAGGCGCTTCTGCCCTCGGTATCTGCAGTAAGGTCCCTGTCCTAACTGCTTCGAGCAAGTCCTGCCTTGCTGCCTCCTCCACCTCTCCCCATTGCCAGCTCTTCCCTTCCCTCAGCAGCTGGTTCAGCACGTAGGCACGGCGACTGAAGTTTGACACAAACTTCCTGTAATAATTCAGGAAGCCGAGTAACGCCCGCAGCCCTGTCTTATCCTTTGGCGCTGCCAGGTTCTCCAGCACCTTAACCTTTGCCTCTTGTATGGCCAGCCGACCGCCCTTCACTTCAAACCCCAGGTAAGCCACCGTGTGCCTCGCTATCTTACACTTATCTGGGTGACACGTCAGCCCCGCAGCTGCTATTGCCTCCAGAGTCTGCTTCAGATCTTGCACATGCTGTTCTTTGCTGCTGCTGTAAATCAACACGTCATCAATGTAGCATGCTGCGGCTGGAACCCCCTTCAGCACTTGATCCATGGCTCTCTGGAACACTGCTGGTGCGTTACGAAGCCCGAAAGGCATAACGTTGTACTCATACAAACCGTCCACCCCGTGAAATGCTGTTTTCCGTTTATCTGCTTCTCTAATGCCTATTTGATTGAAGCCCTGCCGCAGGTCCAAGGTGGTAAAGACGGTGGCCCCTTCCAGCCGGTCGAAAATGTCTTCAGCAGTCGGCATAGGGTATCTGTCTGGGCTTGTAATCTTGTTCAGCTCCCGAAAATCCCCGCACATCCGCTTCGCTAGAATCTTTCCCGTGATGTCCTTCCTAGCAGCCACCACCGTGGCCGCCGCGTAACTTGATTCTGACGGGCGAATAATCCCTGCAGCTAGCAACTCCTCACATTTCTCCTTGCAGATGGCTGCATCCTCCGCATTCATTCGCCTCCTGCGTTGGTATGTAGGTAGCTCAGTCGTGAGGTTCAGCTCCAGCTCTCTCCCCTTGTATCTCCCCAATTCCTGCAGGTTATAGGCGAAGGTGCCCCTATGCTGCTGCAACACCTCCCTGATTGCTTCGGCTGCTTGCTCCCCTATACCTGCCCCCAGCTCCCAGGTTTTGCCCGGCTCTGCTTCCGTCCCTACTGGTGGTGCAGTTTTGATCTCCTTCTCGTCTGTGAGCTTGCTGACAGCGGCGTAAGCAGCCTGCTTGCTGCCCCTGCACTTCTCCTCTTCCGTCTTTCCCTTTTTCTCGGCTGGCCCCTTTCTCATCTCACTAATTAGCCATCGCAGTGAGTGCTGGTCTATGGCTCGGCCCAAGGCAGCTTTGCGCACCTCCTCCCCTACTCCATCTGCTGCAGTTGCCCCCGGCAGGTACCCCATGGCTAATTCCCTCTCCAAAGCAGTCGGCTCCTCCCATCTTTTCTTACGGTGATCATACACCATCCCTGGACCTGGAGTCCCTTCCACTTCGACAAATCCCCGTGCCTTTGCATAGGCCACCAGTGTCGGCCAGGCCCTCCTCGCTTCCCCCACTCGGTTACACTGATACTGTCGCGGATGATCTGGCTTTACCACTGGGGCGGCCACTCTCCCTGGTTCCAGAATGTCTTCCACGATTCGGCTCTCATCTCTCTCCACCCTTGCTAATCTCGCCCTCAGTTCTCCTTCTGGCAGGACGTTCTGCCAGTACTGCCGCACTCTATGACACCTTGCCCCCAGCTGTGCCCCGTCACAACTCACTCCCCTTCCCAATTCTGCTTCCACCAGTTCGCGTACGGCTCGGACCGGCTCCCTGCTATCACTCCTCATATCCACATGTTCTAGGATGTACGCATATTCCCCGCCAGATTCTCTCGCCCACCTCATAATCGTCAGCAGTGTTGTCACCATCGCCGTGCGGTCATCCTGCATTCCTCTTCCCTTCCCCGCTCGGGAAGTACCCTGGCACTCCCACCCTGCTACCAACAGGTCCACCTTTCCCCAGCGGTTCACGTCTTCCTTGGTAAGCTGTCCCACATCCCACTTCTCATTCTGCATGGCCTCCCGTATCACTTCCTTCGCCAGTTGAGCTGGGTACCGCTGCTGCAGTATCTGTGCATGCTTCCAAGCCATCCTCCTCACCTCCGGGTCTATTTCCACATACACCCATCTTTTCACCTTCAGCCCTGCTTCCAGTGCCGCCGCTAAGCCTGCCCCCAGCCCTCCAAACAGCTCCACTAAGGTAACGCTATACTGGTTCAGGTTAGCTCCGACCTTGCCCTCTTTGGTACTCCCCCTCCTTACGCTCTCTCTTCTCATGCCCTCCGCCCTCCAAGCCTTCTTCGGTTCTGTCTTGACAAACCGCACTGGCAGCTCACTCAACTCCTTTCCCTCAATCCAGAAATCCGAGCGGTAGAGCACCTGTTCCTGCCAGGTACAAATTGTTGTACCTATCTTGAATAGCAGCTCCATCCCCAGCAGAACATCATAATCCTCCGATTCCGTCAGCCCACATTGCACTCTTATCGTCGTTTCTCCCTTCTCTCCAGGCTGCAGAGTAATCTCGATGGGGTCCTTAGTACAGGGCATCCACTTTGGTGCCCCTCCCTCGGCTGTCATGATCAGTATGCCTCTGTTTACTATTTCCAAGTCCCCTTTCTCCCGTAACTGTTCTGTCAGCTTCCTTCCCAGCAGGACACTCTGTGCGCCTGTATCCACCACGGCGTTCTCCACTAATATGCCCCTGACAGCCACTGCCTTAGGTTCTACCACCAGGGCCGTGGGTTGGCAGACGAGTCTCTCCTCAGGATGCCGTCGAGCCGTCCTCGGCTTATGGCTTTCTTCTTGTTGCCGAGGGGTTCTCCTTTCAGGCTGCTTCTGCTCTGTCCTGCCATCCTTCCCGCCGCTGCGCAGCCCCAACTCCTCTCGGTCTCTAGGTGGTATGGCCATGGCCCCGTACTCTGCCTCCTCTCTCTCATACTCCTCCTCTTCATCGTCCTCCCAAGCCAGCAATGCCTTCTCAGGGTCCTCACTAATCTCAGTCTTCTCCAACTGTCCCTTCAGCTTCGCCACCTCTCTCTCTAACTGTAACTCCCTTGCCGATTTTCCTCGCATTCTCTCTCCCTTGCTGTAGCACCTGTCTTCAGTATGCCCCCTTTTCCCACACCCGGTGCAGATAGGTGCCTTGGGGCAGTCACGTCTGAAATGTCCTTTCATCTTGCATGTGTCGCACACTATGTCTATGGCGCAGTCCTTCCGCACGTGCCCCTTTTCGCCGCACTTGTAACACCTGCGTCTATCTTCAGACGGCCTCTCTCTTCGTTCCTCTTCCCCCTGTCTCCCTTCCACCGCTGCCCAAGCAGGCCTCCGACGTTCGCTCGGCCGACTGGAGCTTGACCCCCTCATTCCTTCGAAAAACCTCTTTCCATCCTCCACTTCTTTCGCCACCTGGTACACCTGTCGCAGCTTCGCCCGTACCCCCAAGGAGTATAGTCGGCTTCTCATGTCTCGTATCAAGTCCCCATCCAGTCCGTTGACGAACTTGGTCACTAGGATGCGCTCCTCCACGCAGCCCATATCCTCTGCCAGCTCCAGTAAACGGTTATAGTAGGCCAACATCGACTCTGCCGGCGCTCTTCTGAAGTCTTGAAACTCCGCCATCCGGTCAGCCGAATGCCCCGGGAACTGCTCCTGCAGGCTTTCCAAGAAACGGTCCGTAATATCTGCCGGTAAGATATCTCCTCTGTTGCTCCGCATCAGCAGCCCCTGCCTCTCCACGCGGTAATGAGTCAACGCCTCTCCTTTGAGAGTCCTCCCCAAGCCTCTGAAAAATTCAATAGGATCCAGTCGCTCCCTATCCCAGCAGTAGCGAATGTCTTCAATCATCATCAGGTAGTTTTTCAGCGTGGGCTCCTCTCCGGGTGCCCCCGAGAAGCGGTCTGGTACCTCAATTTTGGGGGGTGTAGTACTCATCGACCTGCCTGTCCCCCAGCTTGTGTTCCCTCCTTCTCCACTCCCTGCAGGTCGCCCTGCTCTCCCGGCCTCCATGGCTTCGTATCCTCCAGCAGAGAATCCGTGATATGCTTCCTTGCCTCGCTGACTTCGTCGTTCCACCGATTGATCGTCTCCTCCCCTCAGACTACGCCTTTCTTCACGTTGATCTTCTTCTCCTCTCTGACTCCGCCGTTCTTCTCGATGATCTTCCCCTCCCTTCTGACTTCGTCGATCTTCATGTTGATCGTCTCCTCCCAGATCTGGATTTCCTCGGCGAGATCCACTCCCCACAGGTCGCCCTCCACTCCTCTCCGCGGGCGAGTCGCATGCAGAGCTCGACTGTTGTTCTCCGTGTACACCTCGTTCTTCCTCCCGATCCCCGCCTTGGTTACCGCGCGAGATCGTCCCTCCTTCGCCCGCCCGAAATCCAGGCATCCTGACCGGCGGATCACGTCCCTCCATCATCCTCGCCGGGAATCGGTGTCCAGAGCGCAGTTGATGAGTGTGAAGCTCACGGTCGAAATTACTCATTCCTCACGGTGCATCACCGTGGGCAACTCCAGGCAGTAGATCCTGCCACCTCTTCTCTCAACAATCGTAATCCTGACTACCCTTTTTGCTTGTATGAAACAAGACTTAACTCCCTCGCAAGGGCTCCGCCGATTTGCTTCAGCTCCTCTCTACTGCTAGTTCCCCGTGGTTTAGGAAATCACAATTGCAGTAAACGAGAAACATACAAGCAAAAAGCAACGAGTCTGAGCGCTACCCCAGTCTACATCCCCTCCTGCCTAGGTGCCTTGTCCCGCAAGCTACCTCTACTCCTAAGCGCGAGTCAGCCGAGCTGATCGCGTAGGCTTCAAGGTGCTAGCTGGGTCCCACTCGGCCCACTAGGCATGCACCGCCTTCCAGCCTGGTGAATGGCGAATTGAATTCCCAGGCTGGCTGGAATCGAATTCGCCACCAACCTCCCCCCTAACCACCTCGAAATCCTCAGCAGCTCGACTCTGTATAGTACAGTAACATTCCAAAAGAGCAAACAAAGTAAAATGCAAAAAGCAGTAAACTATAGTACACCTCACCTTGGCTGCTGTGTAATTCACACTTAGTTGCCAGCTAGGTGTTAATCACGCGACACAGGAGGCGGGAGGAACAGAAGAAAGAGCAACAGAGGGATGTTGACGGGGATGTGCACACTTAAATCGTCCAGGAACTTGCAATTTTCCACCTTCACCTGGTGGTGGGAAGAACGAGAGGGTGGGCAAAAGAGACAGTGGGGGAAGAGGGGCACACTTGGACACACTTGGTCACATCTGGGCATGCTTGGGCACGCATGGGCACGCTTGGTCACATCTGGGCACGCTTGGTCACGCTTAGTCACGCTTCGTCACGCTTGGTCACACTTGAGGGTGCTTGGTCACGCTTCGTCGCGACTCGTCACGCTTAGTCACGCTTGGTCACGTTTGGTCACGGTTGGTCATGCTTGTTCATACTTGGGCGTGCTTGGTCACGCTTGGTCACGCTCGGTCACAATTGGTCACGCTTGGTCACGGTTGGTCATGCTTGTTCATACTTGGGCGTGCTTGGTCACGCTTGGTCACGCTCGGTCACAATTGGTCACGCTTGGTCACGTTTGGTCATGCTTGTTCATACTTGGGCGTGCTTGGTCACGCTTGGTCACGCTTGGTCACGCTTGGTCACACTTGGGCATGCTTGGTCATACTGGGTCACACTGGGCCACAGTGGGTCACACTGGGTTCACTGGGTGAACATTACACTAAAGCCACAAACACTCAGCGACTCACTCCCGAGCGTTGCTTGCGGCCCCATGAGCCACTGGCAGGCATGTGAGCATGCATACCACCAGCACAATAACCATACTCACACACTCAACGAGTCACCCCCGAGCGCTGCTTACGGTCGTCTTCCCTCCCCACCGCCACCACCGTGCTGGGCCCCATGAGCCACTACCCTACCCAGTGCCCACACAGGTGACCATACCCACACTCTAGGACTCACCCCTGAGAGCTGCTTCCTGCCGTCCTCCATCTCTATCGCCACCACCTTGCTGGGCCCCATGAGCCACTGGCAGGCGAGGTGTGTCACCCACGCTGGGAGGGAGGGAGGGAGGGAGGGAGGGAGGGGGGGAGCACCACAGCACAGATCTGAGGCCTGCACTGACTGTGATATCAACGATAGCACACCGCTCTGTGCTATATATATATATATATATATATATATATATATATATATATATATATATTAGGCGCCTCAAAAATAGCACACTGTTGTTCAGTGCCTTGCCTACCACAGAGTATCGAGCACAGCAGCGCTTACCACGTGATTATAATGTTGCTTTGAGATGTCTCAAAACAAATCTATTTTCACGCGCTGCGAGATCAACAATATCGAGCACACCGTTCGTTCAGTGCCTACCACAGAGTATCGAGCACAGCAGCGAAAGAAAGGCGGGAATGACTGAACCGAGCGTAACGTAACAAGTCGGCTAAACAGCACATCGGCCTTACCACAGAGCACAGCACACCGCCCTTACCACAGAGAACAGCAGCAACCCGGCCGCTCCACAATGGAGCAAAGAACCTCTTGAAGAGCGGCAGAAGGAAGGGCGGGAAGTGGGCACGTAGAATCGTTACCTGATTGGGGGCAGGAGAGGGGATGGGTGATAGTGAGCGTAAGTGAGGTGAGTAAGCATGTGACTATAATGAGCAGAACACACAGCTCACCGCGTCCTGTTTGCTCTTCCTACCATCCGAGTGCATTATCAGCGGCGCGTGTATGTGACTATAACATGTCATTCATGCTCATATGGTCATGTGACGCTTATGGTATGCTCATCTTATGGTCATGTGATTCTCATGTCATGCATGAGCGAGGAGGACTCATGCCATGCAATGACTCACCGCGTCCTCCTCGCTCTTCTTGCGATCCCCGTGCATCAGCAGCAAGAGTATGTATGCAATGCACCGTGTGTGACTATAACGAGCACGCGCGCGCACGCACGCACGCACGCACACACACGCACGCACGCACGCACGCACACACACACACACACACACACACACACACACACACACACACACACACACACACACACACACACGCTCACCGCGTCCTCCTCGCTCTTCTTGCGATCGGGGTGCATCTGCAGCAGCCTCCGCGCCTCCTCTATCATCCCGTCGTACCCCTCTTTAGGCGAGCTCCACCCCACCACCTGAGAGCACAGAGAACAGCGGGAAGTGAGGAGTAATGAAGGAAGAGAGAGGGCATCTGCAGCAGCTTCCGCGCCTCCTCTATCATCCCGTCGTACCCCTCTTTCGGCGAGCTCCACCCCACCACCTGAGACACAGGTGGGGAGCAATGAAGTGTGTGTGTGTGGGTGTGTGTGTGTGAGAGAGAGAGAGAGAGAGAGAGAGAGAGAGAGAGAGAGAGAGAGAGAGAGAGAGAGAGAGAGAGAGGGAATCAGCAGCAGCCTGCACGCCTCCTCTATCATCTCATCATACCCTCTTTAGACGAGCTCCATCCCACCACCTGAAAACACAGCGAAGAGCAGATAGGGGGACGGAGGTTGGGGGGAGTATGTGGAGAGAAAAAAAAGCTGCAGCTTTCCGGCTCGCTGTCACACACGCCAGACTCAGTTCTCCCCTACCTTCACATTTCAAGGACCCCATTTCACATCACAGCTCACTCCTCGTGAAAAAGAATCAATCTTGAGATGACTCAAAACACCCGAACGCACCAGATAGACCCGAATTGCTCTCGCGAGCCTCCTGCTTAAAAAAAAAAAAAAAAAAAAAAAAAAAAAACCTGGCTTGCTCTCTCACACGGTCACACCTGTAACTCAACTACCCACTTTCGCCCACATTCGCATCACAGCCCGCTCCTCACCTCTCTCAATCCCACTTCACCTCCCCCCACCATTGCTCACATCCACAAGTTTTTGCCTGAAGTTCGCGAGCGCGAGCCGACCGAACAGACCCGGATTATACGGCGGACTCTCCGTCACTGCTCCTACTGCTGCTTCGCCAGCTGCGCCACTCGCGCTGTTCACAGCAAAGCTACGTCTGGTCTTAGCGGATGGTCGTGAATCAGCGGGATTTCCGGCGGAGAATACGGCCGATGCCGTCCGCGGCAATCCGAAGGCCGTCGCGACGACGACTCCCCGTCGTTGACTCGTCGCATGGTAACCGGTCGTCGATCGTGCTTTTCGCACATGCGGTTCGCACATTGTGATAGACATTGAAGATCGCGACAGGATTGGCCGGCGACTACTTGATACTACACTATTTGCTGCGGACGGATGGCATGCGACGTGCGACGCCATGTCGAATGCAGCGACAACTGGCTGCGATGGGGGCACCAACGGGTTCCTGAAAATGCAACGGGGGCACAAACGACAGCGATGCGAGAATATGCAATCCACCAGCAGGCGGTCTGTTTCGAAACCAAAATTATGTGTTGTGAGGGAAAACAATTCGCAGCAACATATGTTTTCCCAGTCCCTTGGAACGGGAATCGGGGGACTCGTCGGGAGAAGACAGACTTGGGTTGGGAGGAGAGAGCACCTACACCACAAGTCTGCAGTAAATAGGTGCCACAAGTTCAGGGATGGGGTGATCTACATCGTTGAATAGCGTGGGTGTGCGACCCGGGATTTTGAAGCCTAGAGATGAGTACAACAGCGCATTCCGAACATTCAAACAGCGTTTCTAAAGACAGTCCGAGAGTCGCATGATATAAATGTCGTTCGAAATCGTTAGTTCAGTCATAAACAAGCTGCAGCTGCCAGTTCGTGACGTGTCGCACTCGCGGCCTGGATGTCGCAACCAATGGCACATTTTTTACCACCTCTCAGAGCTGCAACATGCTGACGGCCTGTCAACCGCTAAATCCACTGGCCAATGAATCAAGTGCTTGTCGTTGCTCGCATCGCCAGGCGGTTCTAACATGTTTGCGACATTTCAGAGTGTTCGTAACGTACTGGAAACGCGGCCTCGGAATGGGTCACCGTAGTGCTACGTCACACTTGCGACCAGCACATTTCTGGCCACATGCAAGCACCGTCCTCGATTCTCCGTAAGTACGCGTTAAGGCCGAATTCGGTGGTACGTGGGTGGGGTCCAGAAAACGCCTGTTAGCGAGTCGAAACTTAGTTCTCTGCATAAACCCAACTCTAGAAAGCTCACTCTCGCTCTGCATAAATCTAGACACATTCCACAACACACCAGCAGTTCACAAAGCAGTCAACCCATGTCCTCAATGTCCAACAAAGTACCACCGGTTAATCCGCCACACACCTTCCTTTTCTCCATCCCAATCCCATTACCGCTACCACCGGTGCTACAAAATTTGCTTAACAAGACCTGTTGTTGGACCCCCACATTCCTTCTCACCCCTCCTGAGGAACCTTCCTCTAACTGTGACTCCCCCAGATTCCCACCCTTCAGGGCTTTAACTGCCAACTGGCCGCATGCCCCTGCAATGTCATTTCCTTTCTCGCGCCTGATGGTGGTCCGTAACCCGTAATTCCCTCGTAACACCTTCTGAAATGCCTCAGCAGCCTCGGGAGTGGATGGCCGGTAATCTGCCACCACCTCTGTGTGATTGTATGGAATGAGATTCACCACCTGGAAGAACGAAGGGAACAAAAAGACAATGTTCCCGTGGATTCAGTTACAGAAGCTTAGGGCCGCAGATTGCGGCGCCTCAAAAACTGATAGCAACAGCATAAAGCCACCAGAGAGATTGATACGAATGAGAGTTAATACTCCCCCCCCCCCCCCCCCCCCCCCAAAAAAAAAAAAGAAAAAAAAGGAGAAATTTGGAAGCAGTAATGAGTATTTACCACGTTGCGTGATTGCAGCAGCAGCCCGAGCTCATGTGCTACACTGATGCTGTCATTCACCCCTCCCAGCAAGATGTACTCGATGAAAACTCGCCTGCCACTGCACACAGACATGCCAAGAAAAAAGGTTATAAGGTGCCTTAGAACTTGTCCCTTGTGCCACACTGATGCTGTCATTCACCCCTCCCAGCAAGCTGTACTCGATAAAGACTCGCCTGCCACTACACACACAAACACACAGAGAAAAGGATTTGAGGCACATTAAACTTGTCTCGTGTGCTACACAAATCTATCATTGGCCCATTGTAGCAAGATGTACCTGATTAAGTCACACCGGCCTCTGCACACACATGAAAGGAAAAAATCCATGAGTACCTACTCTCTGCACTGCACTGGGTTTCCTTCTCCGTACCTTTGTTGTTGGTACTCGTCCACTGCCTGCATGAGCTTTTCCAGGGAATAGGCTCGGGCCGACGGGACGATGGAGATGCGGAGGGGTTGCGAGGGGGCGTGCAAGGAGAGAGCGAGGTTGACCGAGGGGAAGGCAGTGGCGAAGGAACGGATATGCGGCACCACACCCACCTGATGGGGCGGAGCGGAAGGGAGTTTGGGGAGGGGAGGGAATACGGGAACCTCATTGAGTGAGGGGAAGGCGGAGGCGAAGGAACGGATACGCGGCACCACCCCCACCTGATGGGGTGGAGCGGAAGGGAGTGTGGGGAGGGGAGGGAGGGAGTGACGAAGGGTATGAAAGGAGAGGAGGAGGTTACTGAGGGGAAGGGGGAGGAAGGAACGGATATGAGGCACCACACCCACCTGATGGAGTGGAGGGGAAGATAGGGAGTGCGGGAAGTTTTTTTTGAAACGCATATTGTGCACAGCTATAGGATTGCACGCGTCCAGTATTTGTGGAAGCCATGAAATCTAAAGGGGATGCTGTTGCATATGCACAAGCCATGTGCAAGGCATGACACTTACTGTGGAGACGGTGATGTGGTTGGGCGACATGTGGAAGCCGTATGGAGCCACCATGAGCTCGACTGCTGCCTTTACTGCCGCATGGTTGTTGAACGGCTCTCCCATACCCTGAAGGGAAACCAAGCCGCAGGGGAGAAGGGAGACAGGAAGGTGGGGTGAAGAGGAGGGACAGATACGCCCGCTAGGAGGTGCCGTATGGAGCCACCATGAGCTCCACTGCTGCCTTTACTGCCGCATGGTTGTTGAACGGCTCTCCCATACCCTGAAGGGAAACCAAGTCGCAGGGGAGAAGGGAGACAGGAAGGTGGGGTGAAGAGGAGGGACAGATACGCCCGCTAGGAGGTGCCGTATGGAGCCACCATGAGCTCCACTGCTGCCTTTACTGCTGCATGGTTGTTGAACGGCTCTCCCATGCCCTGGCAGAACAGACAGATGCGGAGGAGAAGGGAGGCGGAGCTAAAGCAGAGTGGGGCAGACTGGCCCACTCGGAGATGCATTGTGGAGCTACCATCAGCTCTACTGCTGCTCTCACTGCTACAAGGTTGTTTGAACGGCTTGCCCATGCCCTGCAATGGCAGGAATGAAGGAAGCAGGGGACGGGAGGCGTACTTTTGGCAGGGAAGAGTCGCACAGGGCGGCATGCATGCTTGCACCTATTTCTAAGATGCCTCAAAGACGCTCCATTTATGAGCCTAACATGGACGCATGCATGCACCTAGCTGACTTTTAGTCAACTCATAAGTCAACTTGCTCCATCTATGAGCCTAATATGGACGCATGCATGCACCTAGTTGACTTTTAGTCAACTCAAAAGTCAACTTGCTCCATCTATGAGCCTAATATGGACGCATGCATGCACCTAGTTGACTTTTAGTCAACTCAAAAGTCAACTTGCTCCATCTATGAGCCTAATATGGACGCATGCATGCACCTAGTTGACTTTTAGTCAACTCAAAAGTCAACTTGCTCCATCTATGAGCCTAATATGGACGCATGCATGCACCTATTTGACTTTTAGTCAACTCAAACGTCAACTTGCTCCATCTATGAGCGTAATATGGACGCATGCATGCACCTAGTTGACTTTTAGTCAACTCAAAAGTCAACTTGCTCCATATATGAGCCTAATATGGACGCATGCATGCACCTATGATGTACCCAATGCATGCATGCATGATGCACCTAACATATGGGTGGGACATGCTTGCATGAACGTACCATGCATCGGAAACACACAGAGTCAACAGCATACCATGAAGACGACTTTTCTGATAGGTGCCCGTGGCACATGCCTGCATGCATGCACTTATTGTGACCAGAACAGTTATACACGGAAGTACCATGAACACCGCAAACACACAGCGTCAACAGCATACCATGAAGACGACATTTCGGATGGGGACTCGTTGCGACGCCAGCAGCAGCTGCTCAGCAATCTCTCCCGTTGTAAGGCTGGTGGGACGAGACATGGTGCCCGTGGCACAGAAAGAGCAGCCCATGGCACACCCCACCTGCATGCAGCGCAGTCATGCGTACACGCACAGGTGCAGAGAAGAAGCATGGGTTGAGATGGGGCGAGACATGGTGCCCGTGGCACAGAAAGAGCAGCCCATGGCACACCCCACCTGCAGTCATACACGCATGCATGGGTGGATGGATGTGATGGGAGATATATGGGTTCAGATTGAAGTCTTCTCAAAGGTCAATCTCGTTAAACTTATACACATTTTCAGGATTCAATCCAGTATGACTGCTGTTCAGCTCTTGAGACGTCTCAAAAGTATGACTGCTGTTCAGCTCTTGAGACGTCTCAAAAGTATGACTGCTGTTCAGCTCTTGAGACGTCTCAAAAGTATGACTGCTGTTCAGCTCTTGAGACGCCTCAAAAGTATGACTGCTGTTCAGCTCTTGGGACGCCTCAAAAGTATGACTGCTGTTCAGGTCTTGAGACGTCTCAAAAGTATGACTGCTGTTCAGCTCTTGAGACGTCTCAAATGTATGACTGCTGTTCAGCTCTTGAGACGTCCCAAAAGTATGACTGCTGTTCAGCTCTTGAGACGTCCCAAAAGTATGACCGATGTTCAGCTCTTGAGACGTCTCAAAATTATGACTGCTGTTGAGCTCTTGAGACGCCTCAAAAGTATGACTGCTGTTCAGCTCTTGTGACGCCTCAAAAGTATGACTGCTGTTCAGCTCTTGAGACGTCTCAAGAGTATGACTGCTGTTCAGCTCTTGCTGCTCAGCTCTTCCACATGGATGACTGCAAGCCTGAACTGAACGAGGGAACATGCGTGGCCTACCTGAGAAGACAAGTTTTGAGGCGCCTCAAAAGCAAGCCTGAACTGAACGAGGGAACATGCGTGGCCTACCTGAGAAGACACACACAGTGTCGCTCTCTCTCCCCCGGGTCGTTGTCCCCCATTGTAGCGCCCCTCTGACGCATCATAACGCATTATCACCGCTTCTACAGTCAACCCGTCCTGTAGCCTTATCAGAAGTTTTATCGTCTCTCCATCATGTGATGTTTTCTCCTCCACGACTTCAGACGTGCTGGCGACAAACGAATCTTGCAGTAGCGAGTACAGAGGCTGGGGCAGCTTCGGAATATCGGTCCATGATCCCAAGCCACGTGTTCTGATGACATGGCTGGATAAGGAAACGGAAAGAGAAAGACGGACAGAGGTTGAAACGAGGTACTCATTAGCGAGTATGGAGCCTGGGATTCGGAATGTCAGGGCACGAACCCAGGTCCGCTTGAATCGACGACATGACTGGGTACGGGAGAACGGGAAGACCAAGAAACGAATGCAAGCAGCGACTCCTTCACATTGTGCTGCTAAAGCAGGCCGTCTCTGCAGCAGTGCTACTCGGTAAGTTGACTTTTGAGTCGACTCAAAAGTCATCGTGCTGCTACAGCAGGCCGTCTCCGCAGCAGTGCTACTAGGTAGACAACTTGTGGTTTGCAGTTGTATCAGCCATTCCATGGTTCCAAGCTGACCTGATAATCGTCCGGCTGTGCGACTCTTTCAGCCCGTGCCGCTGCAGCAGCGCCGTGAGAGACGCTTCGTCGAGCGCTGGTAACGGAGAGAGCACGCGACGAGCTACCATGATTCGCAGAATAAAACCGAAAACGCGCTGATGTTAGTAGCGACGGCAGCGGGTTAGCGACATAGCGAAACGAAGGATTCGCAATCGGACGACGACACAGGAAGATTGAAGGAATGCACAGTTGAAGAAACTTGGTGTGACAATTACAGGGGAGATACCACGGAATCTATAGTGCAATTACTCGGGTCGGGAATGGACACACGTGTGCGGCTCGGTTTCGCTATCCGAGCCAATTTTGCTGGTGTGGGAGAAATACGAATTTGGTCAGGTCGCCATGGTTGTTCTGATTCCTGAAGCAGCAGGAATAGTGGGTTTATCAGAGTGCTGTGAGTGTCGCGAAATGAGCAGTGTCACGAAGGCCATTGTGGTAATGGGACGGGGCGAACCGGCTACAAGGTTACCGCCCTGAATATATATGTATTTATATATGCTTCTCAAAACAGTGAAGAAATACAGGTGCTGCTGGATTCAACACTGTACATATAAAAGAAGAGTATGATTGCACAATAGAATAAGACAAGAGTAAACAGTGGAATTGTAGTAAATGAGGATGAGCTTGATAGAAGAGAAGATGATACTTAGAACTTGGGACTATAAAGAGAAACTTGTGTAAGGTGGAATGCTTGATGAGATAAAAAACACAAAAATGGAGAAAGAGAGTATGAGCTTGTTGAGAGAATAAGAGAGGGGATAGGCACTTACTTAAATGAATCTTACTAGGGATAGTTGTAGAGGTGACTTGTAGGAATGGCTTGGTCTTGAGAGCTTTACTTGAAGAAGAACATCAACCTTGGTGTTGGGTGATGATCCTTCCTCAAGCTTGTAGGAAGTAATGAACCTTATACTCAAGTAGAGTATGAGGTGATTACTCTTCACTTGATGCTTAACTTTGTAGACTAATGAGAGACACTTTGTGAGCATAAACTTATATTGAAAGAGGTATAGTACAAGCCTTATAGATCCATGAGGGATACATAGGCATGCATAGAGAGAGTAACCATCAATGGTAGCCTTGGAAGAGAGTTGCATGAGAGTATCAACTTTTTGGAGACATAGAACTTGGTTGCTAGTGAGGAGCCTTTATAGTAGAAGAGGAGCTTGAAGGAGAAGCTTGGAAATGAGCTTGGTGAAGAAGCTTGGAATGCATTGTTGTCATTGAAGAACCTTCTTGAGAAGATGTAGAGATGCTTGATGTAGATGAATAGTATTGGAGCATGTGATGGTGGTTGAGCACTTGATGAGTTGGAGATGTAAGCCTTGTTGAGTTGGAAGAGAGCTTAGTGAGTTGGATAAGGATGAGTGGAGGAGATGATGAGTTTTGTTCCCTTGTAATAGGAGGTGATGGGATAATCATGAAGTCCTTAGGGATGAGGTGGCAACTTTGGTGACTTGGGAAAGGAATGATGGAAGGAATAAATGAGAGGCATGTGGAGGTTGATGACTAGGAAGTGGAAGCATGTGCTTGAAGGCACATGGGAGGAGGATAATTGGAGGAGGTAGATGACTTGGGTAAACTTTGATGAGTAGGAAAGGAAAACACATGGAAAATCATGAGGAGTCATGTGCCTTATGGTGGGACTTGAGGATAAGTATGGGAAGTTGGTTTGAATATTGGTTGAGTTGGACTAGGAAAGTCTATGGTGGTTGGGAGTAATTAAAGAGGTGGTTGATAGGCTTGAGTTGGAGAGGATGAGTTGGAAAAAAAGGAGTTTGTAACTTGAGTGGTTGGAATAGGCTTTGGAAGAGTTGAGTGGTTTGGATGGGCTCTTAGGAAAATGTGTCGAGGGTGTTTTGAGGGGAAGGGGTTGGAGTGGCACAGTAGCGTGGCACGTGAAGAGCGTGCCATTCACAACACTCCCCCTCACTGCAAGCCCGTACCCTCAAATCCGACTGCTGGGACTAACCGGGCTTGAACTCGGTTGTTGATGAAGATGTCGCGTGCAACGACCTTGGTGAGGAAATCCGCCGCTTGCTCACTCGTGCGGCAAAACAGGGGCTCAATTATTTTCTGCTCCACAAGCTCCCGGACGTAGTGGTATTGCGTCGCGATGTGCTTGGTCCTCCCATGGAAGACTGGGTTCTTGGTGAGAGCGATCGTCGACGTGTTGTCGATGAAGATGGGAGTAGGGCTCTCTTGTGGGAGGTCAAGCTCCTTCAATAGGCCTCTCATCCACACTGCTTCTCGGGCTCCTTGGGTCGCAGCCATGTACTCTGCCTCCGTGGTTGATAAAGCCACACAACTCTGCTTCTTTGACTGCCAAGAGATGGCTGCCCCTCCAAGCATGAAGATGTATCCTCCAGTGGACCTGCGAGTAGGGATATCCCCAGCCCAATTTGCATCCGTGAAGCCATACAGCATGCTTGCACCCTCAAACCCTTGAAAGAGGAGACCAAAGGAAGAGGATGATTTGAGGTAGCGCAGGGCACGAAGTGCCCCACGCTGATGCATGCGAGTAGGTGATGTCATGCATTGAGAGAGCATGGCAACAGTATGGGCAAGATCAGGACGGGTGCAGATGGAGGCGTACATAAGGCTGCCCACTTGGCTCTGGTAGAGTGAGAGCTCAAGGGGTGTGATGTGGGACGTGGACTGTGGTGCATAGGTGTCATGACCAATGTCCTCAGGAGGCTCAAGGCTCTCGACCTCACCCTCAAGATCAGTGACCTCTGATTCAACAGTGGAAGGGTCAATGCTTTGCTCGTGTGAGCTTGGCATGAAGTCCGAGGGGAGTGGGGTCTCAACTGGGTTGCAGTTAAGGAGACCAAACCTTGAAAGGACCTTCTCAGTGTACCTCTGCTGTGAGATGAAAAGTGACTTGGTGGTGCGGTCCCTCACGATGTTCATACCAAGGTAGTGTGAGGGCTCACCCATGTCTGTCATGATGAAGTCTTGGGTGAGCATACCTTTGATGCGTGTCAGGAGACTCAAGGATGCTGACACGAGGAGGATGTCGTCCACATAGACTAGGAGCCACAAGGACTCCCCCTCACTTGTGCGTAGGATGTACAGTGCTGCATCGAACTGTGACTTGGTGAAACCTTGGGTGAGGAGTGATACCTCAAGGGTGTGAAACCAGACTCGTGGTGCTTGCTTTAGTCCATAGAGGGACTTCAGCAGCCTGCAGACGTTGGTGGTACCATCGGAGTAACCTTCGGGCTGTACCATGTGGATCTCTTCGTCGAGCTTACCATAGAGAAAGGCATTCTTCACATCCATTTGATGGATGTGGAGATCCTTCACTGTGGCCATTACCAGGAGGCACCTGACTGTGGTGTACTTGGCTACGGCAGAGAAGGTTTCTGTGTAGTCCGTGCCTGGCATCTGTGAGAAACCTTTGGCTACCAGGCGTGCCTTGAATCGGTCCAGTGTACCGTCTCCCTTCACTTTCACTCGGTATGTCCACTTAACCTTTAGTGCTCTCTTACCAGGAGGGAGTGGTGCAAGGACCCATGTACCTTGTGCAAGGAGGCTGTTAATCTCTTCTCTCTCTGCCTTTACCCACTCTGCCCTCTCAGCGCTTGCCAGTGCTTGTTTGCGAGTGGATGGCTCAGGTGGGAGGCAACTGATGGCGTGACACATGGCGACTACCTTGCAGTCCATGCAGTGAGGATCGGCACACTTGGTTGTGACTGGGAAGCATGCACCGACTGCGAGGTTCAAGCGCTGCACTGGCTTGCGTGCTCGTTTGGGACGCTGTGAATGCTCGGTGATACCTTCGTGACTCGTGTTACCGTTAGGGATGGTTGGAGGTGCTGAAAGAGTGATTGTCTCAGGAACATCATTTGGTGGTTGAACGGGTTGAAGCGGCTTGTCTGCTGCGTCAGGGATAATGGTTGAAGTGTTGACTGGAGGTGAAGAAGTAGATGATACGGTTGAAGACAGCTTCTCTGCGACTGGCTGCTGCTCAGGTGTTGACTTTCGCGTTAAGGGCTGCTCCATCGAGGGTTGGAGCGAAGACGGCTCGTCGGTGAAGAGAGGCAGTGACGTGTGGTTTGGCTCATGTTGATTCTGCTGCTGCTCATGAGAAGGTGTGTTGTTTTCAGGTATAGGTGGAGATGGTGTGGTATCTCCAGCAGGTGCACTTGGAGAGGGCTCCACTGCGGGTGTTGTGGTGAGTCCTGGTGGAGTGGGGAGAGGGTCTTCGAGAGAGGGAGAAGGAGGTAGATAGTTTAACTTCCATCGAGCGAGGGACATGTCTTCATGGAAGATCACGTCCCTGCTCACAATCTCCTTGGTAAGGAGAGGGTCCCAAAGAATCCAGCCCTTGCTCTCCTTGCTCAAGCCAATGTGCACGGCCCAACGTGTCTTGCTCTCAAACTTTCCTCTCTTTTCATCGGGAATGCGGTATTGTGCCATGCACCCAAACACACGCAACATGGAAACATCGGGCTTCTTCCCATGCCATGCTTCAAATGGGGTGATACCTGAAGGAAGAGCGATGGTTGGGCGACGATTCTTGAGGTGGGCGGCATGGTTCACGGCTTCTCCCCACCATGCATCGTCCAGCTTCATGTGCAAGAGAAGAGATCTTGCAATTTCCTGCAAGGTGCGGTTGAACCTTTCGGCAATGCCGTTCTGCTGAGGGGTGTAGGGGCATGAAAGCTCTTGTGCAATGCCAATGGATGAGAGGTGATTGCGAAATGACTTACTCATGTATTCTCCCCCTCTGTCCGAGTGCAGAGTCTTGACTTGAAGGCCGGTTGTGTTCTTGATGTGTTCGTGCCACACTTTGAATGCTTCGGGAACAAGGTCTTTGGACTCAAGAAGGAAGACCCATGCAAAACGTGTCTTATGATCGATGAGGGTCATGATGAATCGCTTGCCCGTGCGACTGAGCGTGCGAGCAGGACCAATGATGTCACTATGAACAAGGTCAAGAGGACTTGAGACTTGAACATTGACAGGGGGATGAGGATGGTGTGTGTGCTTGGCTTCAACGCATGAAGGGCATGGAGAAAGTGAGGAGGGAGACTCGGAGCTTGGTGTGATGCGAAGACCTTCAAGACTTGCATGTGCGGTGATGGACTTGGAGGTTGATGCTCCAGGGTGACCCAAGCGACAATGCCAAATGTAGGGTGTGGTAGCCGTACCTGGGTGAGGCTTTATAGTAGTTGATGCGGCAGCGGTGTAGCCATGGAGTCGACGATACTCTGGGTTCACGTCGAGCTTGAGGCGGTAGAGGCGACCAACTCGCTCGCCACGTGCAATGAGGAGTCCCTGGTAGCGTATCTGCACGGTACCACTTTCGAAGGAAAAGATGCAGTCTTTCTCCTCGAGTTGTCCAACCGACAATAGGTTGGCTCCAAGGTTGGGAACGAGGAGGACACCTGAGATGGAAACCGGCTTGCCGGTGGGGTTGAGAAAGGTGAGAATTCCTTCTCCCGCGGTGGGAGTTGACTCCTTGTTGGCGACGGTGACGGACTTTACTCCTGTGGTGGTGAGAGAATGTAAGAGGGAGGAGTTAGGAGTCATGTGTTGGTCGCACCCACTATCGAGGTACCAATAGTCGGGATCGAACGTCGATGTGGGCGCGGATGAAGTCATGGCAAAACTTATGCCCTGTGGGGTGCTTTGGGAAGAAGTAGTGGGTGTAGAGTTGGAGGGAGTGGGATGGGGTGCTTGAGGTAATGAAGGCGCAAAGCCTTGTAGTGGAGAAGTGTAAAATATAGGCATTGGTTGCATGGGGTAATAGGGAAAGGTATAAGATTGACTTGGGTAGTATTGGGAGGATTGAGGTTGAGCTTAAGGGAATTGTTGAGGCTCATTTTGAGAGCTCACTGCATATGATAGGGCGACTCGGCCCTTAGCGGTAAGAAGATGAGGCGGAGGGGTCCAATTGGGAGGTTTACGAGGGCACTTAAACCATGGATGCCCCCATTGGTGACAAAAATGACAAGTAAAATTGAACTTCCCCGATTGGGGCTTAGCGGTTTGAGAGGGATTCGATGAGAAGGGTTGATTGGATGAGGAACTTGTTGACGGGTAGCGACCAAGGAGAGATGGGTTAGAGGACTTACTTGCTTGTCGTTGGTTCTTACCTTTGTTGTTGTTGAAGTAGTTGTTGTTGTTGGTGATGTTGCCGTGACCTTGAGTAGAAACGGCGGCCGACCATGCCGGTTTGTTGTTCTCCTCCTTTGACTTAGCAAGCTCGCGTGTTTGATGCTCGTTGATTAGGGTGTTGAAGATGAAGTCGCGCGTCTTTTGCTTCTCGGGAAAAGCTTGTATTGTGCTCCGCATTTGAATCCATTCCGATGAAAGCCCCGCGAGGAGAATCGTGATGAAGAGCTCCTCGGGAACGGTGACTTCGATGACGTCGGCATCGTTGAGTAGAATCTCCGCGCGCTCCAAGTACTCGGGAATCGTCTCCTTTTGCTCCATCCGCAAGTTGGAGATCTTGCCCCACATTTCCGCCTTGGTGCTCTCGGTGCGAGGTTGATGAAGTCGTGTGAGCCTCTCCCATGCACGCTTGGCACTGTCGGGATGACTCGCGCACGTGAGTAATGACTTGGCATATTGATCTTGGACGGAGTTGAGGAGGTAGAGGTAGGCTTCGGCATTCTTCTTGATCCACGCGGTTTGCTCTGTGGGAGGGGCTTCGGAGGAAGGAGGAGAGAGAGAACCGGAGTAAATGGGCCACCACTCTAGGAGAGTGGAGGCCAATTGGAAACGAATTCGCCACGCTTGGAAGTCCTTTCCATTGAACCGTGGCACTTCTAGCTTGGGGGTTAGAGAAGAGGGGGTAGACATTTGGGTGTAAATAGGAGAGGGGAGAGTAGGAGATGATGAGGTGTCTTTTCCTCCTGTGTTGCCGCTTACTTCGGAGGAGCTTGATTCTCCTTGCGAAGTGGCACTCTTTGACTTTGAGCCCTTAGGGGTGGGAGTCATGGAGAATGACAAGAGAGAAGGTTCTTTCTTGAGGGGATTTTTAGCGAAAGCGAGGAAGTAAATGCTCTGATACCAGTAGAGAATTGAGATAAGGATAAAAGAGTATGATTGCACAATAGAATAAGACAAGAGTAAACAGTGGAATTGTAGTAAATGAGGATGAGCTTGATAGAAGAGAAGATGATACTTAGAACTTGGGACTATAAAGAGAAACTTGTGTAAGGTGGAATGCTTGATGAGATAAAAAACACAAAAATGGAGAAAGAGAGTATGAGCTTGTTGAGAGAATAAGAGAGGGGATAGGCACTTACTTAAATGAATCTTACTAGGGATAGTTGTAGAGGTGACTTGTAGGAATGGCTTGGTCTTGAGAGCTTTACTTGAAGAAGAACATCAACCTTGGTGTTGGGTGATGATCCTTCCTCAAGCTTGTAGGAAGTAATGAACCTTATACTCAAGTAGAGTATGAGGTGATTACTCTTCACTTGATGCTTAACTTTGTAGACTAATGAGAGACACTTTGTGAGCATAAACTTATATTGAAAGAGGTATAGTACAAGCCTTATAGATCCATGAGGGATACATAGGCATGCATAGAGAGAGTAACCATCAATGGTAGCCTTGGAAGAGAGTTGCATGAGAGTATCAACTTTTTGGAGACATAGAACTTGGTTGCTAGTGAGGAGCCTTTGTAGTAGAAGAGGAGCTTGAAGGAGAAGCTTGGAAATGAGCTTGGTGAAGAAGCTTGGAATGCATTGTTGTCATTGAAGAACCTTCTTGAGAAGATGTAGAGATGCTTGATGTAGATGAATAGTATTGGAGCATGTGATGGTGGTTGAGCACTTGATGAGTTGGAGATGTAAGCCTTGTTGAGTTGGAAGAGAGCTTAGTGAGTTGGATAAGGATGAGTGGAGGAGATGATGAGTTTTGTTCCCTTGTAATAGGAGGTGATGGGATAATCATGAAGTCCTTAGGGATGAGGTGGCAACTTTGGTGACTTGGGAAAGGAATGATGGAAGGAATAAATGAGAGGCATGTGGAGGTTGATGACTATGAAGTGGAAGCATGTGCTTGAAGGCACATGGGAGGAGGATAATTGGAGGAGGTAGATGACTTGGGTAAACTTTGATGAGTAGGAAAGGAAAACACATGGAAAATCATGAGGAGTCATGTGCCTTATGGTGGGACTTGAGGATAAGTATGGGAAGTTGGTTTGAATATTGGTTGAGTTGGACTAGGAAAGTCTATGGTGGTTGGGAATAATTAAAGAGGTGGTTGATAGGCTTGAGTTGGAGAGGATGAGTTGGAAAAAAAGGAGTTTGTAACTTGAGTGGTTGGAATAGGCTTTGGAAGAGTTGAGTGGTTTGGATGGGCTCTTAGGAAAATGTGTCGAGGGTGTTTTGAGGGGAAGGGGTTGGAGTGGCACAGTAGCGTGGCACGTGAAGAGCGTGCCATTCACAACAGTTCTGATTCCTGAAGCAGCAGGAATAGTGGGTTTATCAGAGTGCTGTGAGTGTCGCGAAATGAGCAGTGTCACGAAGGCCATTGTGGTAATGGGACGGGGCGAACCGGCTACAAGGTTACCGCCCTGAATATATATGTATTTATATATGCTTCTCAAAACAGTGAAGAAATACAGGTGCTGCTGGATTCAACACTGTACATATAAAATTCCCCACATGAACGGCTATGTACAAGAATGCCCACAAAAGTAAGCTTTTCCACCAATCAGAGTTATCCCAGAACATGGTGTGGTGCTGTCTGCAACATTCTCTTCAATACATCCATTCCGAAGGAGTCTGACATGCTGCTCAGGCAGATACACGGATGAACACACAAACGACAAAAAATGGTGAGAACGAAGCCTGGAAAAATAAGGATTTGCAGGTAACGGGGATACATGGGACGATGATCAAATATTTTGAATTCACACACCTTGGGACGGATATTTCAAAGGGGAAAGAGACGAGGGATGACGTGAGGACAGGAGGCAGATGGTCCCTCTTCTCATTGGCCATTGTGAGAATCGAAAGCAGTGCCTCCCTTACAGATGCCTCTAACTGCATACTGCGCTGCTGCTGCTGCTGCCCCTGCTGCCCCTGCTGCTGCTGTTGCAACGTGATTGACAGGCCAGCAGAAGGCCTAGACGCATTAGCAAAGTTGGTGGCAGCAGCATTAGAAGCAGTGGGGGGAAATGAGTGCGATGGGGATGGGGATGGCAATGTTCCGCCGACAACAGTGGTGGAGGGAGCAGTGGTGGTGGGAACGGTGGTATGTGCTGCACTGGAATGTGCAGGAGAAGAGGAGGAGGAGGAAGAGGAGGAGGAATAGGAAGGTTGCAGGCCAGAAGTACCGGCTGAAGCAGAGGTGAGGAGTGAGACAGGGATGATCCATTGTTCCCACGTGATCTTATCTGATCCTAGGCTCAATCGGGCGGCACTCGCACTCAGCCACGATGCTGCTGCGTCCTTCCTTGTGCTGCCTCCACCACTGCCGCCACTGGTGTTGCCACTGCCGCCTCCACTACTGCTGTTGGTGCTGCTGGTTTTGCTGCTGCTTCCGGATTTTGTGCCAGCTGTGTTACCACCGGATGACGTGGCTGATGAGCTGGAGCTTGTGATTGGACGACGCTTCTCAAAGAACGAAAGGCAGATCTGGTAGAGCAGGGGGGTGGGGAGGAGACAGGATAGAATGACAGAAGGATGGTACAGTAACAAGGCTATAATGAGATGAAAATGCATGCATACGGGGAAATCCTTTGTCAAACTGACTACATCATTTCAAAATTCTAAATGGAGCAGTACCTACCTGTCCCTTCTTTGTGGGGTTCTTTTCAAGCCATAGACTAAACTGGCCAATCTTCTCCTCTATCTGTCTCTCCACCTCTGCATCCCCGCACTGCACCTGGAGAAAGGAAGAAGCAGAAGACGAAAAAGGCAGATTAGATGGATTTAAGGGGACACGGGGAGTATACAGAGGTAGAACAGGGAGGTCACATATGTAGATACGACAAAATTCTTTTCCATAAAATGGAAGAACAATAATAAGGAAGGAAAGATGGAGAACAGAGACGTGCTCACATAGGTGATATCGAAGAGCTCTGAGTCGATGCTCTTGGGTCGTACGAGACCCAGTGCCCGATGGAACATGATGGTGTGGAGCAGACCTGGGGTGTGGGAAGGAAACGGGGGGTGTGGAAAAATGGGAAGGGTGAAGAAAAGAGGACAGTATTTGCTTTTGAGGCACCTCACAAACACTGCTTGGTGGAACATATTGGTGAAAAGGAGACGTGGGCGAGAAAGTGAAGAAGGAGGCCTTTTCTGAGGCCTCTCGAAAACGGAGGAGGTACAGATGAGGGGAGGAAGGGAAGGGGAGTAAAGAAGAGAAAAGAAGGGCGAGTAGTACCGGGGAGTGTGAAGAAACTTACATCGTAAGACTTCGCGGATTTGATAATGCTCGAGCAACTGTCAGGAAACGACTTCCACGCAGGTACATCGGCCATGGAGGGAGGGCACACGCATAGGCGCAGTCAAAGTTACACGCACGCACAGTCAATTCCGAACAACAAAACACACCAAGAGAAGTATTATCGGCAGGAACAATCTGGACGTCAGGTAAGAACGGAGCGTGAAGCGAAGAAAAGGTCTTGGAATGCTGTGTTTGAGCCGTGCAATTTGAGAAAACAATCTTGCCATAAATACGGTTCACGCCTGGAGAGCAAATGCTAACAAATGCATGAAGCCGGCTTCTGTGAGAACTATTTCTGAAAGAGAGAGTCATCTCTTTGTAAAGCACGGACACTCTGCCATCACCCACCAGCTCCTTCAGCTCAAACACTTCGCAAGTCATGGCTCAGCTGGAATAAAATTTTCGCAACAATTGTTCCTCGATTCTGCATACGCGTAAATTAAAAAGGTTTAGCGACTGAGCTGGCTACAACGAAACGTCGACAAGCTTCGCTTTGCCTTTCCGCACATACTTCAGAGGCAAGTATTTGAGGGAAGGAATAAGTAGTCTCACATGAGAATTCGTGGCATCTCGGAAATGGTAGGGAGGAAAAGGTGGGTGATGAGGATGTGTACGCGTTATGAGCTTAATTTATTTATGGATATGGTGTTCAGGGTCATTGATTCATGCTCTTGTATCAGAGTTTGATGTGTTACGTGAGCATTTTTTAGGGTTCCGTCCCGTCAGGGCTATCCAGTAAGTGGCAGGGCGAGGCGGCGGGGCACTGGGGCATCACAATCGGCCAGCAACTCACGACGCGCGCCATCCCACCACCTCAAGCGAGTCGCGGATCACTTGATGCAACCCTTCATTCTCCCACAAATTTGGGTAAATGGAAAAATGTTAGCAGCATCAATGACTTTCCGAAAGTGTACCATCTATCGCTCGTCGTTATTGCATCCCGCAACAATATAATCTTTACGTAGCAGACTCGAAAATAGGGACTAGTCCTGAACAATATAATCTGCCCGATCACCCTGGACCACGAATTCACGGAAATTGGCTCTCATTCTGACAACCATTCCCGCCAATCGTACTTGTCCCTGCAAACCTCTCCAACGGTCACATTCTCGAGCTCCCCCATCACCATCAGCCAGCGAGACACTCTCTGAACTTTCTCCGACTCTGCTGTGCTCTCTGGTCTGCTCTGGTTCTGGTTCGTAAACCCAGCAAAGTGCAGCCCATGGTTAGCACGTCTCATCCTAGCCCTCAGGAGATTAGAGGCGTCTAGGTTTGTTCAGTTCACAATTGATGAATAACCCTCCGATTTACGAGCAATACCATGTTGGATAGCTCCATTCAAGACGCCATAGCGCTTCGTCGGGAGACGCCATCTGTTTTTCAAAATTATTCCCACGTCCAACGCTTTCCGGGAACCTCGGGCTACCAGATCTGTTCGCGTGCAATTACCTCACTAGTATGAGAGTATGACCATCAGTGCACAGAACATGCGCGTCGCAGTAGACTACGACGCGCAATAGCAGAATGGGTTTGTCTATAGCTGATGTTGTTGCGACAGAAGTCGCAGCAACAGCAGCATCTTGGGATTGTACGTGCACGAACAATAAACAAAGACGCACAGAAGTTAGATCATTATGGCAGGCGTGCAGGAGAAAGCAGGCGCCGGATTCATTCGGCCAACATCGGCCACATGCGCACCTGATGCTGAATGCTCGGCTGGTTTTATCACCGGCCCTGTTGGTGCTCTTTATGTGTGCATGCCTTCCAAACGCGTCGCTATTACCGAGCGCAGAAGCCATTCAGTTTTCGGGTAAAAATTACGCGCCGTGCGGCGTGTCAGGGAATTACTCCGTGGTGGGTTTCAAAGGCGCGTTCACTCCTCTGCATCCACGCATTCAACTGTCTGCGCTCGTGACGGTGTATGATGACTGCTACCTCGCCCTCTCCTCGCTCTCGTGAGTTCACTGCAACCGATCTTCTCCCGCTGCCCTCTCACTCCTTTCCGCTCGCACGCTAGTCTCTTCGCAAGCATCTCCTCGCAGAAGTTCTTCCCCAAACCCACTGTTCCACCTTCGTCCTTCCCCCCATTCCCCATCTTCTCCAGATTGAAATCAGCCAACAGTACTCCCTCTCTCTCCCTCTGGGGGGGAATAGCCGGCGATGATCCATTCTCCTACGCCTCCCCCATCGACCCCGCCCTCTCTTCCCTCAACCCCGCCTCCGCCTCCCCTCTCCTCGCCGTTCACATCGGCTCCCAAGGCCGCACATGGGATAACATACACGTTCTCTACCTAGTCACTACCACCCCCGCGGGGGTCTTACAGAAAATCTTAGCTCAGCTGCAGCTGCCCAGGCGCCTTACCCGTGGCGGGGAATCAGGTTCAAGCGGCAAGGGTGCTGGGGGGACGGATTTGCTGCCAGGAAGCGCAACGGAAGCTTCCGAGGGCCTGCGGAAGCAGGTGCTGAAGTATGCCAAGGACAACCTGTTGCTGGCGCCGCCGCCGCCGGTTATGCCGCCGCCGCCCCCGCCGGTTCCGCCTCCCCCTCCGCCCGTTGCGTCCCCGGCGCTGGGGTTCGTGAACTGCGTCACTGCGAAGAAGGGCCGGCTGAACATGTAGGTCGCGAGGAGGAGTCCATTAGTCGGTCAATGCCTCTCTCAGCTTCCCTCGTTCAAGCCCAAACGGAAGTTTGTATTTCCCTCGTTCGCTGCTCTGTCACAGATCGTCCCTCACGTTAATCCCCTTGGCGCGAAACTCCCCCCTCTTCCTTTCCACACACCCCCCCCAGCTACTGGCGCATGGTGGGCGACCCCATAAACGGCATGGCGGTCGAGTTTGGGCTGGAGGGGAAGGTGCCTGACAACAGCTGGATGGCCCTGGGCCTGTCGGGTAACCAGTCGCAAGCGGACATGCACAGCAGCGACATCGCCGCTACAGGCATCTTCTCCTCGTCCTCCATCAGCAGCAGCAGCGGTAGCACCAGCAGTAGCAGTAGCAGCAGTGTTGCCGGTAGCGGCAGTGTTGGTAGTAGCAGCAGTTTTGGTAGTGGCGTCAGCGGCAGTAATGGTGGGAGTGGGGCGCCCGATGCCTTTGCAACGGATTTCTACGTCACGGCGCTGGAGGCGTGTGAGCAGATCGCAGGTGGATACGTGGGCGTGTGCCCGGTGAGTCCCGTTGTTGAATCAAAACCTCCAATGGGGGAGGCGTGTTGAACCCTTTGAGGCGATACTCTTCTGAGCTCTTCTCCCCTCCATAAGCACCTTAGTTTCGAGCACCTCAGAAACCTCCAATGGGGGAGGCGTGTTGAACCCTTTGGGGCGATACTCTTCTGGGCTCCTCTCCCCTCCATAAGCAATTTAGTTTCGAGCACCTCAAAACCCACCCCCTCTTACCCCACTTCCTACTCCCCTCCCGTCCTGCTCCTGCCACTACCCCCCATCAGGACGCGCTGCTGGGCTCCTCTCCCTCCCTGGACATTGTCAACCTCACCCTTGCTGCGCGCCAAGCAAGACGTTTTTCCGTGTGAGGTTCTCAGGAATAAAACCCCACGAACCTCTCGCCTGCTCCCTCCCACTACTACCCCCCCCCCCCATCAGGACGCGCTGCTGGGATCCTCTGCCTCGCTCGACAACGTCAACCTCACCCTCGCTGCGCGCCAAGCAGACGTCTCCTTCGTCCGCTTCCGAAATATACCTCTTTACCAACCTCTCGTCTGCTCCCATCTGCCTTCCCATCGCTCCCCCACATCAGGACGCGCTGTTGGGCTCCTCCCCCTCACTCGACAACGTCAACCTCACGCTCGCTGCGCGCCAAGCAGACGTCTCCTTCGTCCGCTTCCGCCGCTCCCTCGCCCTCTCCACCGACCCCCTCTTTGACCGCCGATTCGATATAAGCTTCCCCTCTGCAGTCCCCAACAACACCGACCTCTCCCGCCCGCTGCTGTTCATTTTCGCCACGGGACCCCTTCTCCCGTCCTCCACCCCCTCGCTGCCGCAACTCCTCCCACATGCCGCCTCTGCTGCGTTCTTTTCCGGTTCCATTAACATCACTTTGAACGCTGCCAAAGCGACAAACTCCTGTGAACCGCTCTGGAATACGCCAGAGCTCAGCTACCCGCCTCTGCCGCCCGGCTTGCTGCCCTCCCCGCCCGGCGAGCCGTCCATGTGGGACGACGGGGCGGTGATTTCCGGCTTATCTCAGTGCAGCACGACGTTTGAAGGGGAAAACAGGAAATTCGCCTCGTGTGAGGCGCTACCAGGGGGGTTCTTTTTCATGTGGACTCTGGGGAAAGAGGAGCTGTCTGGTGCGTTCATTTCGCAGTCTGTCTCCCCCCAAGGGTATGCTGCGGTAGGCCTGCTGTTACCACCGCCGACTCCGCTTCTAGAGGCGCTGTTTACCCCTCCCCCCGCGCCGGCGGGGGGGAATGGGAGTGCGGAGGGTGGGTATGTGAAGCCGGAGTCGTTAGTGGGTGCCTCGATGCTGGTTGCAGTGAGGGCGGAGGACGGAAGCGGGGGACTGAAGGTGGAGGAATATCAGATTGTGAAGCAGGAGGGAGGCAGCAGCAACGCCAGTGCTACTAGCAGCACCACAGGCACGCTCACCACCGTCAGCAGCAGCGGCGGCACCAGCGGCGGCAGCAGCAGCAGCAGTGACGGTAGCAGTCCTGCCACCATCGCGCCACAGGAGCAAACTGCCATGGTTCGAGGCGGCAACCTCTCACTCATCTCCGCAAAAGCAGAGCTCCAAGCAGGCTCCCTCACGCTGCTCTTCACAATCAAGCTCCCCCACAGGCAGCGATCCGGCGCAGTGCTCCTCTGGACCAAAGGCACCCAGTTCTTCCCCTCTAATGACTCCCTTTCCCCAGACGGAGTCTCAGCCATGGCAAGCGCGCCGATAGACTTTGGCAAGGAGACTGACGTGGATCCGAACGCGGCGACGGTGACGACGGCAGGGGTGGTGTATTCCGCGCTGAGTGTGGCGGCGTGGGCGTTTATGCTGCCGGTGGGGGCGGTTTCGGGGCGGTATGTGCGGAAGCACAGCCGGTACTGGTTTCCGCTGCACCAGGGGTTTCAGCTGGGGGGGTACTTTCTGACGGTCTCGGCGTTCACGATTGCGATGTCGCTGGAGGCGCTGCATCGGTCCGTGGGGTACTGTGTGCTGCTGGCGCTGCTCTCGACTCTTATGGTGCTGCAGGTGAGGGGCCTTGTCTGGAGCTACAGGTGAGAAAGGATGCCCGCTGCACCAGGGGTTTCAGCTGGGGGGGTACTTTTTGACGGTCTCGGCGTTCACGATCGCCATGTCGCTGGAGGCGCTGCATCGGTCGGTCGGGTACTGCGTGCTGCTGGCGCTGCTGTCGACGCTCATGGTGCTGCAGGTGAGAAGTGGAGAGGTAGGATGGCTTTCTGTGTGTGTCAGATAGATTCTGTAGGGTGGTTTTAGGGCTTCTTCAACCAAGTTGGTGGGGTACCGCGTGCTGCTGGCGCTGCTGTCAACACTCATGGTGCTGCAGGTGAGGGGCTTGGTTCAGGCCTACAGGTGAGAAAGGATGGTATCTGTGTGTTTTCGTGGTAACTTCGTAGTACGTCCCAACCGAAGGGACAACGGGCGTCGATTCCACAAGGTGTGAGGGTGTTTTCCGAGTCACCTCAAATGATCCCCACCCTTGTTCCATTCTATTCCCCACCTCTGCCCGCCAGATCTCTGCAGTGATAATCCGTCTGCCCGAGTCCCACCACCTGCGCGACCACTGGCGGCGGTTCCACAAGGTGTGTGGGTGCTTCTTGGAGGCTTCAAATACCTCACCCCTCCCATCTCCCTACCCTACCAACCCATCAATCCCATCTTTACCCCGCAGATTTCAGCAGTGATAATCCGTCCGCCCGAGTCCCACCACCTGCGCGACCACTGGCGGCGGTTCCACAAGGTGTGTGGGTGCTTCTTGGAGGCTTCAAATATCTCACCCCTCCCATCTCCCTACCCTACCAACCCATCAATCCCATCTTTACCCCGCAGATTTCAGCAGTGATAATCCGTCCGCCCGAGTCTCACCACCTTCGCGACCACTGGCGGCGATTCCACAAGGTGTGTGGGTGCTCCACGCTCCTCCTCTCCCTCATCCTCCTCTTCCTAGGCCTTCAGCTTATCCAAGCCTCCTCAGGATTCTCCATTACCGCTGGTGTGTGGCTGGCGCTGCTGGCTTCGTGTTGCTTGACGCTGGAGTGGCTGCTGTGGGCAAATCGGTTGACTCAGACTCAGGTTCGGCCGGAGAGCGAGAGGGAAGCGAGTGAGAAGGAGAGTGTGGATAGCGAGGAGGAGGAGGGGGGGGGGGAGGGGGAGGGGAGTGATGGGGAGTGGGATGATGGGATATCGGATTTGATGTTGGAGGGAGGGGAGGGGGCGGATGGGGAGGATGGGGATGCAGATAAGGATGGGGATGGGGGGAGGGATTTGGAGAGAGGAGGAGAGGAGGGTGGAGGAGGGGAGGAAGAGGAGGGGAGTAAGCTGAGGGATTGGGAGAGGCGGATGCTTGCAGGACATGCGGGGGCACTACCCATTGGTGCTGCTGGTGAATTGACTCGGGTGGGAGGAGCAGCAGGACCAGGAACAGTAAGGGGAGGACGAGGAGGAGGAGGAGAAGGAGGAGGAGGAGGCGGAGAAGGGAACCGAGGGTCGCACTCGCACCACCCTCATCCGTCACTCTCCTCGCACCACCACTCGCACCTGCTACCTGTAGAGCGCACAGAGAGCACTACGAGCAGCAGCAGCGGGATGGACGGTGGGCTGGGGAAAGGAGGGGAGAGGCAGAGGCGGCGGCAGCAGCGGCAGCAGGAGGAGCTGGCTGAAGCAGTGGCTGCGGCCTGTGCGCGAGCCACCTCTAGGATGTCGTTCAGTGGCCGCATGCCCCCTGGTGGCGGTGCTGGTGGTGCGGGTGCTGCTGCTGCTGGCGGTAATGGTGGTGGTGGAGGTGGAGTGCAGCCAGAGAGAGGCGGAGCAGGCGGGCTGCTGGCAGTTGTTGCTGCTGCTGTGGCTGTTGTTGATGCTGAGGCCGCGGCTGCTGCTGCTGCTGCTGCTGCTGCTTCTGGTACTGCTGCACTTGCTGGTGTTGGTGGTGGTGGTGGTGCTGCTGCTACGGCTGCTGCAGCTGCTGGTGCCGCGGCTGGTGCTGCGGGTGCAGCTGGTCCCAATGCTGCTCCTAATGCAGCGTCAAAGCACACAAAACAATTCCTGAGATCAGCCACTCCCACCGCTGCTGCCGCCGCTGCTGCTGCGGCTGCTGCTGTTGCCTCCGTCAGTCTAACTGCATCTGATTCCGGCGGCTCTGCTCCTCTTTCTGCCTCTGCCTCTGCTTCTGGTTTGGCACCTGTTTCTGCTGCCCGCGAATCCCCTGCGAAGTCAACATATTTCAACCCACGCAACATCCTAGTTGGCGCTCCTGCTCCCACTGCTACATCCGCCGTTCCTTCAACCAGTGCTACAGCCGCTACAGCTGCCACAGCTGCTACAGGTGCTGCAGGTGCCTCCCGTTACGCCAGTGCCAAGGACCCTGCTAGCTCTATGGCTGTGCCTATGCTGAGAGCTACTAGAGCTCTAGGAGCTGGTGAAACAGGGCGAGGAGGGGGGGATGATGGGGGAGTTGTTGTGAAAGTACGAAAAGCAGAACTGGGGACAGGAGGAACAGGAGGAGGATTGGGAGCGGGAGGAGGAGCAGAGGCAGGTGCGTTTTCCTTGGCCACGAAAACCACTTTTACGAACCCTCTGTACTCGTCAGTTGAAGGGAGCCTGAACGGAGAGGCGGGCATTGGCAGCAGCAGCCCTACCAGCAGTGCTTATAAGTCGACTCAAAATCCTGCTTTGGAATCGACTCAAAAGCCCGCTTTCATGAACCCTCTGTACTCGTCAGTGGAAGGGAGTCTGAACGCGGAGGCTGGCAGCGGCAGCCCTGCCAGCAGTGATTATAGCAGTGGCAAGAGCAGCCCCAGAAGCAGCAGTGGTAGGGCAACTGCTGCTGCAGGTGTTTCTGTGAAGGGCGAAGTTCTCGGGAGTGTTGAGATGGCTGGTTTAGGGAAGCAGGCACAGCAGCAGAAGGAGCAAGAGCAGCAGCAGGAGGAGGAGAAGGAGCAGCAACGGCAGCTGTGGCAGCAGCTGTGGCAGCTGCAGCAGACGGGGCAAAGGGAGGCTGGAGAGCAGCAGAGGGCAGGTGAGAGGAAGCAGCAGGAAGAGCAAATTATGGAGCAATGGCAGAGGCGAACGCAGCAACAGCAGCAGCAGCAGCAGCAGCAGCAGCAGCAGCAGCAGCAGCAACAGCAGCAGCAGCAGCAGCAGCAGCAACAGCAGCAACAGCAGCAGCAGCAGCAGCAGCAGCAACAGCAGCAACAGCAGCAGCAGCAGCAGCAGCAGCAACAGCAGCAACAGCAGCAACAGCAGCAACAGCAGCAGCAGCAGTCTAGGAGAGCCTTGGACGGCTGTGCTTCTTCAGGCTCAAAACAAGCCCCACCAGGTGTAGCTGCTGCTGTTCCCACATCTACTACCATGATTTCTCAAGCTGATTCTGCATCGTCTGAGCTTCCGCCTGCCGTTTCACCAATGGTGGAGCAGGCTTCATCATCAGCAGCAACAGGCACAGCAGCAGGAACAGCAGCAGCAGCCGACCAGCGGAGTGAAGGCCCCAGACGAATGAGTGAAGTCAAGAGCACAGGAAAGCGTGAGGAAGCAGCAGCACTGGCAAAGGAAGCAGCAAGTGAGAGCGAGGCAGAAAGGGAGAGGGTGGCCGAAAGGAAGAGGGAAGCAGAAAGGGTGAGGGAGGAAGAAAGGTTACGGGAAGCTGAAAGGTCAAGAGAGGCAGAGAGGGCACGAGAAGCAGAGAAGGCGAGAGAGGCAGAGAAGGCGAGAGAGGCCAATAAGGCAAGAGAGGCAGATAAGGCAAGAGAAGCAGAAAGGTCAAGAGAGGAAGATAAGGCAAGAGAGGACCGCATGGCTGAGAACAGGCGGCGATTCGACATGCTGGCAGCAGGCTTGGGCGGTGGCGATGGGGGTATGGGAGGAGGAGCAGCAGGGGGCGGGAGGGGAAGAGGAGGGGCCCAGCCGATGATTAAAATGGACAAGTACAATGTGAAGGCCACAGTGGTTCATGCACCCGACTTTGCGTCTCTCAAGCGGTCGCTGCAGCTGCACAAAGCCCTGGCTTCCACTGAAGGCAGGGCTGCTACTGGTGGTGGTGGTGGTGGTGCTGCTGGTGCTTCTGGGGGGAGGAGTGGTGCAGGTGGTGGTGGTGCTGCAGCTGGTGTTGGTGCTGCAACAGCCACTAGAACAGCAGCCTCTGACCTTCCTTCTATTCTTCTCCCTCCTCCTGGAATCCCAGATTCCAACGCTCCTCCGCATGGCAACAACCCTCCTCGCTACAACACCCCGCCCCGCTACAACACACCCCCACGTGCCCACTCTCCCTCATCTCAAGCTGGCTCGCCTAGATCTGCCGGCCTCCCCCCACTTCCCCCCTCGCCTTCGTCCTCTGGTGGGGGGGGTCCCTTCCTCCGTAACCGCACTCCTTCCCCTGGTAACCGCAACCATGCGCTTGAAGCCGCAGCTGCTGCAGCTGCAGCGGCAGGCGCAGGAGAGGTTGGCGCTGCGGTTGCTACTACTGCTGGTGGGCATGCTTTGGGTGGGGGTGTTACAGCAGGAAGAGCTGGGGGTGCGTCTGCGTCGGGTGCGCCTTTTGAGGCGCCTCAAAATGCGGTTGCTACTGCTGGTGGTGGGCATGCTTTGGGTGGGGGTGTTACAGCAGGAGGAGCTGGGGGTGTGTCTGCGTCGGGTGCGTCTGCTGCTGGTGCGTCTTGTAGTGGCTCTGGTTCTGGTGCAAGAAGGGCACTCTTGCTGCCTGCGACTGCGGACGCCCCACGCTCACTCTCCCCCACGCCCTCTGGGGCCGGGCCAAAGCAAGTGCTTTCTCACCCTCAGCAGCAGCAACAGCAGCAGCAGCAGCAGCAGCAGACATTGTTTTACCATCAACAGCAGCAGCCGCAGCAACTGCAGCAGCAGCAGCTACTGTACCATCACCAGCAGCAGCAGCAGCTGGCATACATGGGTGCGCCATCCTCCCCTACCTCCTCCTCCTCCTCCTCTTTCCTCCCGCCTATAGCAGAACTTCCCTCTGTATCACCAGAGCTACACGGCCGGGGGGGTGCACCAGCAGGTTTATCCTCAGGTGCATATTTGGAATTTTCCTTAGGTGGTCCTTCAAGCGGTCCTTCAGGTGCATTCGGGGGAGGTGTATCTTCAGGGGGGTCTGCTGTTGCTGCTGCTGCAGCAGCAGCTGCCATTGCCTCTCAGCACATGCCCTCGTCACCCTCCCTCTGTCCCTCCCCCGGCTCTGCTGCTCTCCCGACACTCCCCCGACGGCCATTGGATCTCTCCGTCAAGGCATCGCAGCCGTTGATCTCAACTGCCCCGCGGAGAATCCTCTCATCCAGCTCATTTGCTCCTGAGGGAGCAACGAGCGGGAATCCTGGGAGCGGGAATCATGGAGTTGGGAGTCATGGAAGTGGGAATTATCCTTCTTCATATGGGAGTCCCGGAGGACATGGGAGTCCTGGGAATGCAGGGAATGCAGGGAATTATGGGAATCATGGGGGTGGGAATCATAGCTCCCATGGGAGTCCCGGGGGGTATGGCAGTCCCGGGAACTATGGGGGTTGGGGTGGCGGTAGAAGGCTAGGGTCTCCAGCTGCAGGTGGTGGCGGCGGTGGTGGTGGTGGGACTGGATATCTGTTTCAACGGTCAGGATCTAATGAGGGGGCGGGATCTGGGTATTTGTTCCAACGGTCAGGATCGAACGAGGGGCTAGCTGTTGAACGTGTAGGATCTGGTGATGGTTTACTGTAGATGTAGAGGGCACGGCAAGGATTAGCCTAGACAGGAAAAAGATAGGCATTAGGCTTCTTTTTTTTACCACTACTTAAAGCCAGCAGGCAAAATAGTGATCCCCCCCTTCTAGTTGGGTCCACTTGAAGATGAAGTATTTTTGTTTTGTTTTGGAATGTTGGAATTGCTGTATGTGTGTTTTTTTTCCAACCCTCGGACGAGTTTCTTATTGGACCAGGAACGATAGTTCATTGTCAATTCTGATTGGCAGCCAGGTTCTCTCACATGTACATGTGCGAATTTGGCGCAAAGTTGAGCGACGAGCACTCCTGCATTCACTAGAGCCAATACTTCACCAAATTCACAACTAGCAACATCTCACGCTAAATCCCAAGCAGGTGATGAGAGTGAAAGTGTTTGAACGTTATTAGAGCTAGTAGAGCTCTGATCAATGTGCTGCCTTGGACTTGAGGCCTGGGAGAGGTGCAATAACGAGAAACATAAGAGAAAAACAGCACTAGGGGGGAAATTATGATGGGCAAGGTGACGCGAATGAAGAGAAAGAGGGAGGGCGACGGGAAACGGGAGGGCGACGGGAAGGGAGGGCGTAGGAAACGGGAGGGCGACGGAAGAAGGGGGGCGACGGGAAACGGGAGGGCGACGGAAGAAGGGGGGCGACGGGAAACGGGAGGGCGACGGGAAACGGGAGGGCGACGGGAAACGCGAGGGCGACGGGAAACGCGAGGGCGACGGGAAACGGGAGGGCGACGGGAAACGGGAGGGCGACGGGAAACGGGAGGGCGACGGGAAACGCGAGGGCGACGGGAAAAGGGAGGGCGACGGAAGAAGGGAGGGCGACGGGAAATGGGAGGGCGACGGGAAACGGGAGGGCGACGGGAAACGCGAGGGCGACGGGAAACGGGAGGGCGACGGGAAAAGGGAGGGCGACGGGAAACGGGAGGGGGGCGGGAAACGGGAGGGCGACGGGAAACGGGAGGGCGACGGGAGAAAAGATAGGCGACGGGAGAGAGGATAGGCGGCGGGAGAGAGGGTGTCGAGAATAGATGGAAAGACAGAAAAAACCAACAAACCAAACACAATAACAGAGTACGGAATGGGTCACGCTGACGCGATAGCAGAGGGAGAACGAGAGAGGCGACAGAGAAAGGAGGGCATACGTGATGGGAGAGTCGAAGGTCGCCGGGAGGGCTATTCGAGGCGAGCGAGAAGGGAGGATGGGAAGGGAGCAGAAAGAGAGAGGGCAATGGGAAGGGAGCGGAGAGAGAGAGCGCGACGGGAAGGGAGCGGAGAGAGAGCGCGATTCGAAGGGAGGAGCGAGAGAGAGGGCGGAGCGGAGAGAGAGAACGCGATGGGAAGGGAGGGGCGAGAGAGAGGGCGACGGGAAGGGCGCGGAGAGAGAGAGCGCGACGGGTAGGAGGGGCGAGAGAGAGGGCGACGGGAAGGGAGCGGAGAGAGAGATCGCGACGGGAAGGGAGGGGCGAGAGAGAGGGCGATGGGAAGGGAGCGGAAAGAGAGAGAGCGCGACGGGAAGGGAGGGGCGAGAGAGAGGGCGACGGGAAGGGAGCGGACGGGAAGGGAGCGGAGAGAGAGAGCGCGACGGGAAGGGAGGGGCGAGAGAGAGGGCGAGGGGAAGGGAGCGGAGAGAGAGAGCGCGACGGGAAGGGAGCGGCGAGAGAGGCCGACTGGAAGGGAGCGGAGAGAGAGCGCGATTCGAAGGAGGAGCGAGAGAGAGGGCGAGGGGAAGGGAGCGGAGAGAGAGAGCGCGACGGGTAGGAGGGGCGAGAGAGAGGGCGACGGGAAGGGAGCGGAGAGAGAGATCGCGACGGGAAGGGAGGGGCGAGAGAGAGGGCGATGGGAAGGGAGCGGAGAGAGAGAGCGCGACGGGAAGGGAGGGGCGAGAGAGAGGGCGACGGGAAGGGAGCGGTGAGAGAGAGCGCGACGGGAAGGGAGGGGCGAGAGAGAGGGCGAGGGGAAGGGAGCGGAGAGAGAGAGCGCGACGGTAAGGGAGCGGAGAGAGAGGCCGACGGGAAGGGAGCGGAGAGAGAGCGCGATTCGAAGGAGGAGCGAGAGAGAGGGCGGAGCGGAGAGAGAGAGAGAGCGATGGGAAGGGAGGGGCGAGAGAGAGGGCGACGGAAAGGGCGCGGAGAGAGAGAGCGCGACAGGAAGGGAGGGGCGAGAGAGAGGGCGACGGGAAGGGAGCGGAGAGAGAGAGCGCGACGAGGCGAGCGACGGGAGGGCGATCGGTAGGGAGGGGCGTGAGAGAGAGGCCGACGGGAGGAGAGGAGGGGAGAGAGGGCGACGAAGAGGGCGACGAGACGGGCGACGAGATGGTGACGTGACGCGCGACGGAAAGGGAGACAGGTGGGCGATTTGGCGAACTCGTGGATAGCATAGTGGGCGATGAGACGGGTGAGAGGAATGGCGACGGGAATGGGGTTCTCTGTGATCGCGAGGAAAATATCACTACGCAGCAACGGCGACGAAGCATCACAAACAATCTAATGATAATTTCATTTCTATGCCGCATCAGCCTAATCCCTCGTCTCTGGCTATTCTATGCTAGGCAAGCTCCGTGAGTTAGGCAAGCTACGTGAATGGAGTTGAAGTAAGCATATGTGGAACCCAGGCCCAGCTTGAAAGTCGAAGTCGGGTCCAACCATCAAAACGCACGACAAACAACTGTCGTGCAAATGTCGCATGCAGAAAATGCGAACGCGCGAGCACGATCTGATTTTTTTTTTTTTTTTGGCGGGAACGAATCACGTGTGTTCACTCTGTGGAAGGGCGATGCCCGGAACAGTGTTTTACACAGCCCATCGTCGTTCCAGTTTTGCTTCTTCCGAGCACGATTTCAAGTTGGATCCGCCTTCACTATTTTATATTTCGGTTTTAATGCCGTTCAGAATGAAACAATGAAAGAACAGGTATTAGTACTTATTTCAGGAACCAGGTGTCCTGTACCATATGTACAAGTTTGCAGTCTACACAGCACTATACCCTAATAGCAATATCATATGACATCACTGAAAGGTGTTGGTTCATGCATATCATATGCACCTAACGTAGGAGGGTTAGCTCATCTACACCCCTAAAACAACTACCTTTTCAGTCTTCCATCCCTCTCTAGGGTTAGGATTTAGGATTTTTCTCCCTGCAAGTGTAGATGAGCTAGCCTGGTCACAACCTTCCTCATCCGGTCCTTGCCCCTCCTGACCGAATTGCTACTCCTTGTCCCACCTTTCCACCTTTAACCACCCCACCATGACATCCCATCCCCCATCCCCATTCGTCCCATTCCCATCCGTCCTAACCCCATCACTCCCAGCCTACATTCAGACACGTCCCATCCACATTCCTCACTGCATTCCCATCCCTACATCTCTTCTCTCTCCTGCCTTCTTCTTCCCCTTCCCACTCCCTCCCCTCCCTCCTTCCCTCCCTCCCCTCCCTCCTTCCCTCCCTCCCCTCCCTCCTTCTCCCCTTCCTCCCCTCCCTCCTCCCCTCCCTCCCCCCCGCCCTCCTCCCACTCCCGCCAATTCTACCTCTTTCTTCCGAGGCACCCACCCGTTTCTCCGAAGCTCAAGCAGATCTCGGCACATGGACCGAAGGCGAGAAGAGAGGGGAGGAGGACGGGTTTGCGGCAGTGAAGGTGGTGGGATAGGAAAACGTTGCTGCTGCTGCTCCCCCTCCTGGTGCAATCGGCTGGGTGTGCTCTTGAACAAAATTACCAGCTGATTCTGCTCAGTCCCCTGGTACTTAGCTAAGTATTCCACATGCCTAAGATATCCCTCCAGCCTCAATGGGGGTGTCTCGCTGCTCTCCAACACCTTCCCTGTTATCGTGAGCAGCACACACGCTGCTTCCACGTGGGAGGGAGGGGGGATGGATTTTGGCTCCCCCAAGAGAACCTGGAGGAGGGAGGCAACGGGGAGAAGGGAACTAAGGGAGGGGAACGGGTGGTGCACGGGAAAGGGGGACCTATGCAGGATCGCCCAAGAGGTCCTGAAGGAGAGGTCCTGAAGGAGAGGTGTGAGGGAGCGGGAAGCAGGGGAAGGGGTGTAAGCAAGCGGATGTGAGGGAGGGGGATGTGAGGGAGGGGGATGTGAGGGAGGGGGATGTGAGGGAGGGGGATGTGAGGGAGGGGGATGTGAGGGAGGGGGATGTGAGGGAGGGGGATGTGAGGGAGGGGGATGTGAGGGAGGGGGATGTGAGGGAGGGGGATGTGAGGGAGGAGGCTGTGAGGGAGGGGGATGTGAGGGAGGGGGATGTGAGGGAGGAGGCTGTGAGGGAGGGGGATGTGAGGGAGGGGGATGTGAGGGAGGGGGATGTGAGGGAGGGGGATGTGAGGGAGGGGGATGTGAGGGAGGAGGCTGTGAGGGAGGGGGATGTGAGGGAGGGGGATGTGAGGGAGGGGGATGTGAGGGAGGGGGATGTGAGGGAGGGGGCAGCTGAGACGTCTCAAAACTCCACTCACCCGCACACATTCATGAACCACCCTCTGTGAATCCACCCTCTGTTTTCCACAATCAGGTGTATATTTCCCGGCTGCATTTGCAGTCGCCTCAAAGCACATCTGAAGCATCTAAGAAAACCGCACTTACCCGCATGCATTCAAGAATGATGCGCACTGTAATGATCCCCAGCAGACACAGCTCCCCAATCAGCCGTACAATGCCCAACGTCCTCGCCTTGGCCCTGTGCTGCTGCTCCTTGGCACGGGGGAAAGAGGGAGGGGGGGAAAGGGGGAGGAAGGGGGGAAGAGGACAGGACAAGTTTTTTGTGGCAGCTCGCCAGCCTGTTCTTACTTTAGGGGGGGAAAGAGGGAGGGGGGGAAAGGGGGAGGGGGGGAAGGGGGAGGGGGGGAAAGAGGGAGGGGGGGAAAGAGGGAGGGGGGGAAAGGGGGAGGGGGGGAAGGGGGAGGGGGGGAAAGAGGGAGGGGGGAAAAGAGGGAGGGGGGGAAAGAGGGAGGGGGGGAAAGAGGGAGGGGGGGAAAGAGGGAGGGGGGAAAAGAGGGAGGGGGGGAAAGAGGGAGGGGGGGAAAGAGGGAGGGGGGGAAAGAGGGAGGGGGGGAAAGAGGGAGGGGGGGAAAGAAGGAGGGGGGGAAAGGGGGACGAAGAGGAGGAGTAGGAGGACAGATCAGTCAGCATGTTCTTAATTTAGAAGGCCCCTGGCTTGTTGCGATTAAAAAAACCATCAATCCCATCCCACCCCACCCCACCCCACCCAATCCCATCCCACCCCACCCAATCCCATCCCACCCCACCGCACCACATCGCACCTGCTTTCTGTGCCTAGCAGCGTCATAAAACTCCGACTGGCACACGTTGAGCAGCACGCGACGGAAAGAGATCGGCACATCCCCCGCCCCTGAACCCCCTGCTTTTTTGAACGGCGGAAACTCGGGCAGAGCTCGCGAAAGTTTTCCACAGAGGGCAGCGTACATTGAGCAGAGCGTGGGCTCATCTGCCGCCTTGGTGAAAATGAGTGAGATCACCTCCTTGAGTGAAGAGGGGGAGAGGGGGAGGAGGAGGGGGGGGGGGGGGGGGGGGGAAGAGAGAGGGGAAGGTGAGAGGTAAAGGAAACCTTGAGGTCGCTCCCATCTCTTGGGGTAAAAAGAGCCATGCAGTGGAAGGAGATCGAATTGCCATGCAGTGGAAGGAGATCGAATTGCTTTGAGGAGATTCAGTGCAGACGGGGTTTGAGTGGCAAGGGTAACAGAATTGAGGAGGAGGGAGCGGGAAGCGGGGGCTGGAAGAGCAGGGAAACAAGGGCGGCGGAGAGGGAGGGGGGACGGAGTGTGGGGGGTGGTGGGGAACAAATTCAAACAATGTAAAATTCAAGCAATAACTAACTAGGGAAGATAGGAGGATATGATGGGGAACGCAGTGTGGCTTGCTCGAAACAGATTGACCACGGTTTTTTCTGTTGAAATCACCTGGAGGATCTCAGGTGTGTTGATGCCAGCTGTCAGGAGCTGCTGGAAGAGCGGTTCGAACTTCTTTGGTGTGAGCTTGTTCAGAATGCTGCGGTGGAGAAGAGTTGAGTGTGCGGGGAGAAGGTGGGGTGGGCGCGGGGAAGGGGGGGAGGGGGAGGAGGGAGGAGGGAAAGGAGAGGTAACTCGGGTGTGAGTTTGTTGTCAATGCTGCAGTGGCGAAGAGTTGTTACAAGTGTGCTTGTTTGGGGGGCGAGAGTGTGTATCTGGAAGAGGTGAATTAACACCTGAGTAACCACCTCTTCCAGCCAGGCCGGTTATCATAGTGCCGTTACTCACATGGCTACACTTCAAACGGTGACCCGTCCTAAACGAGTACAATCCAATCCAGCGGTCAAACGCACCCTTTCACGGTTCGCAGCACTTTCTCCTTCTCATCCAACACGCGTTCAGATGGCACACACGGATTGACGATAGTGGTCGGATCCATGGTCAGGATTTGTCCTTGCTACGAATCCACAGGTTATAGAATCGCAAAGGTGCTAGAGCTCCGCCAACAAAATAAACATCGAAGGTCGAAATGGAACACGTAACACGAGGAATGCAAGCAACAGAAGGAGAAGCGTCACGTTTACGGCGCGCAGCCAAGCTAGGCGCGAGCAAGAAGATAGAAACGCGGCGGAAGAACTAGGTGAGAGACGCACAGGCCCAGAAACGTGGAAGCGAGATGATAGGAGAGAGTCAAGAAGATGATAGGATTTTAGTATTAAGAGGATTACAGTATGATAAAAACAAGATATAGAGAAGGAAAGTATGCTAGGAAGGAGGAGAGCGACTCGGAAGGAAACCCGCGTCGCTACTCTTTTACATGGCATCTTGGCATGACGCCTCGATGCCATGCCCTGCCATGTACTATTCTTCCTGACAGGGATACACGGGAATACTCGAGGCTACCAACTGGCGTTGTTCGGAGCTAGCTAGTTCTCTCCCACTCCGAGATTCCCATGCATTTCTCATGCCGAATCCCGGCCTGTTACAACGTGGCACCCATGGATTGACGGTGGTCGGATCCATGGTCAGGATCTGGCCTTGCTACGAATCTACAGGTTTTAAAATCGCAGAGATGTTCAAACCCGCCTAGGAAATAAACGATGGATGGTAAGATCCCTCGATTCACGGTCGAAAGTATTAAAGAAATGGAAACTTACTACTTTCGACGAGGCATGCAAGCAAGAGAAGGAGAAGCGTCACGGTTACGGCGCGAAGCGGCTTGTACAGTGTATAGAACATGTGCACTGCTGAGCTGATTGTCAGGAGGACAAGCAAGAGTGTAGTTGTACTGGGCTCTTTATCGAAACAAACTGCACCACCGAGAATTCACGTAAGACCAGTTCAGTCCGTGCCAGAACATTAATTGAAACCACTTCGTTATTGACTTCCTTGCTCTCTTCCTTTTACAA